AGAAAACTAGGCCACGGCGCCTGATAGCATCATTTCCAAGTGGCCGACAGTGTTTTTTAACGTTTTTTACCTGTCGGAGATAAAAGCGAAAAAACTCCGGAAAAATTGTCCGTTAAGAAAGTCGCGCCGCTCGCGTGGCCTAATTTTCTCACTGGAAATGCTCGTCCCTCGGCGGCACCTTTTTTCCCTCGGCGGCACCTTATTTTTTTTTTATTTTTTTTATTTTCAACGGCGTTTTTTGGGGATTTCGCATTTTTTTCGAATTTTTTCGAAATAATATTCTGAAAATAGATGAATTTTAACACATTTTGATGCAATAAAAAAAAATTGACCGGAGTCCCCCTTTAAAGTTATAGCTCTCGAAAATGAAGATTTACAAAATTTCCTGTTGTTTTGATGCCAAAAAAACGAAAAATTGAAAATGAAAAATATAACCAATTTTCAAAACCTAAATTTTTCCAGTTTCATGGTTTTGTCTCAAAAATGGGGTTGGCGCTCAACGGGTCGTTTGAGATGAATCGGTTATACCTGTAAAATGCATATTTGCCAGGGAAAATATAGATTTGGGAACTTTGGGCCACTCGGTTCTATTATCTCTGTATAAAAAATGTTCTTCACAAATCCCTGAATTCAGATTTTCAAATATATTCCAATCATGTGGATTTCTGACTCACAAAACTACAAAAACAAATTCTGTTCCCATTTCAAAGAGAACCGTTTTTCCATTTGTATTGTTCCTAGACATTCAAATAGATTCTTTGTACTTTCAATACAACCGCTCCTCTCTCATATGATCCAATATAAAGTCCCTTTAGAATTTTCAATATTTCCCCAAACCGGCATTGTTATTGTATACGGGGTTTGAGTCGTTATTAGACGCCTAATGGTTGCACCGATTATATAGTCTGTCACTCCTGTAATTATGCCAGTTCATCATTCATAATTGTTGTGAAGAATGAAAAACGATGCGTCGCAGCAGGGGACGAACAATGAGAGGACAAATTAACTGCAATATCCTTAGATATATGTTGTAATCTTGGTAATCGTTTTTCCTTTTTTTTTGTATTTTCCAACAAAAAAACTTGTGAGAAGATGGAAAACAAAGAATTTCAAATGAAGTTTTTCGCGTGTCACAAACCAACAAAAAAGCCAATTTGAAATTCGCAAATTCTCCTTCAAAATGTATGCTGCTCCAGCTTCATTCAGATGACTCTCATCTATCTTTTTCCTTAGCCAAACACAAAAACCAACAGGGAAGTTTTGATCTTTTGTCATTCGGTAGCAAACAATAGCATGTCTGTCAGACAACGTGCCATGAATTCTTGATAACAGTGACAATTCGAATAATCAGTGGTTTTGTTGGATTTTGAAAAGAACGGGTAGATTCAGACGTCATCTGGACCCAAAAGACGTCATTTTCTAGAAACAATGGTCATGAAAGTGTACTGATGCTGAGTGGAAGAATGATGTGAAAATGATGCGACTCGGATCAAAAAGAACAAATGATCTGGAAATAAGCTTCTTCTCCGTTCATGGCGGGAAGTTTTTGGTAGACCTTGGGACACGAAAACAAGATTTCGAAATTTAATGATTCGAAATTTAAGGATTTCGAAATTTAATGTTCAAACTGGTGATTTCGAAAGCCAACATTTGAATTTCGACATCCAAAATGGGAAACAGGTTTACAGGTTTTTCGATAGCTCATGTGGTTCTCCTAATTATTCGACCACATTTATTTTATTCAATGGTATGATAAGTTCTGAAACTTTAGAATACAACACAGGATTGAGTATTTCGAATTTCAGACAAAGATTTAATTACAGTAAACCTGTAATAGAAGGGCCCCACCACTGTCAAGTTTGAGATTATCTGGGTTCCTGCCAAAAAGTTTGTCTCGGTTCCTGCCAAAGATGGGAAAAAGTGTTTAACTGATAAAATGTTTATTAGAATATCATTAACATCTTATCAGTTGACATATTTTTGATATCTTGAATGGGGGCGAAAAGATTGGCTCAAGGTTGAGAGGATTGGAGCCCTTCTATTGGAGGTTTTACGGTAAATGTTTAATTTAAAAAATGTCCGAATTCCGAGTTTATGCTTGTCCATTCAGCAGATATCAAAGATATTGAATAAGAATATTGGTTCTAGTTGGTTTTTTGGAATTTTAAAGAAAATTTTAGATTCAAAATATTGAATTTTTGAGAGAAATTGGATTTTTAAAAAATTATGGATTTCAAACTTATGTTTAAATGTTACATAATTTTTCGCATTTTATAGCCTTTTATAGCCATTTATTTTATAGCCATTTTTATAGCCATTTTATAGCCTTACAACGCTCTAAATCCAATATGTTGGATTTAAAAAAAAGAAATTTCAAAGAAAAATCGGATTTTAAGGTTTTTCGATTTCTTTAAAACTGAAAACTGGGTTTTTTTTAATTGGACTGATAAGAAATGTTGAAATGTCAAAGAAACTTCGGATATTAAATTACCTTGGATTTTGAAGAAATTTTCGCATTCTAAATTACTTTCAATCTAATTCTTTTTAATCCAAAATGTTTTAAAGCTTTAAAATGTTTTAAAATTCGAAAAAGTTCTTACTAAAGTTTTATTTAGAATCCAAAATTTCCTTCAAAAATCAATAATTATTAAATTCAAATAATTTTTCGAAATCCAGTTTCATTCTTTAAATTCAAGTTTTTTTAAATGCAAATGGATCTTGAATATTTAATTATTCCGAACATATTTTAAATTTTTTTCCAAATATTCAATCTCCAGTATTGATACCAATAAGACATCAATATATTCACAGGAAGTGATCAGAAATCAGATGAAATGTAAAATAGATTTGATGTTGCATAAAATTAATTCAAATCATTAAGTTGCTTATTCATTGCTATTTGAAAGGAAACGAAGCACTAATGTAATGCGTTTCCCTATTTTTTTCTAGCTTTTCAGTTGATTTCGCTCGAATTTTGGAACCACGGTTGGATTTATACATTTGTGAAGGTTTTGAAAAACGGGGAAAAATAAAAATTCTCCTTTCATTCCATGTTCAAGTGAAGTTCATTAGCGATTCCCTTCTCTTCGCTGCTTTATATTTTCGTTTCTCCTAGTTTCCCGTTTTATTGGCTTTCCGATTTATGCGAAATTGGATTTTTAGTTTCTTTCTTACGGACAGCCTAGGTTCACAGCTTCATTTTCATTTCATTTTTTTTGTTCCATTCGTTCTTTTCCCTTTTGTCAAAAATTTGTTTTCAAGGTCGCTAAAATGTTTGTCTAGTCTCCACAAAAAAAATATAATAAATCTTCCACAGCGCCGCTTTAAAAAACATATATCTCCTTCGAAATTCAGTTTGTTCTTTCTGGCGAATTCACGAATACCCAAATTTTCCTTTGTTGTCCGGCCAGAAGAAAAAAAGTGGTCGAATCTATACAACTTCCTTATTTGTGGGCCGTGTAACACGAAGCGAATATTTGTGGTGCGGGGAGTGTGTGCGGCCAGTTCCGGCGGCAAACAATATTAATATGCCATATGCTAATCTGGGTCATCAGAATGAGATGGACGTCGTTCGCCAATTCATGTTGCATTATTCTTCAGGACTTTTGTCCCCCATCGTCCGGAAGAAAAATCTCATTGAAAACATTTTGTATTCTTCCTAGCGGTGCCTGGAGTGGGTTCCGCTGCATTATGTATGTTTTTTTCTTTTCTCCGTGCTCCCAATTTTTGTGCTCTTTCTTCCCAGCATATGCAATTTCAAAGTCACAAAGTTGTAATGTTTTTTCTTTTTTCCCCTTTTTATATATTTTTAAAATAAAAGGAAAAGCAACATTTCAGTAATTGAATCATAGATGCATCTTGATACTGATATTTCTTTTTTCCATCTATCGGTAGTAATTATGCATCAATCAAAAATTATTAAATCGGAAACAATTTGTGAAAACAATGATAAATTACTGTAGACACTGAGAAAAAAATTTAGATGATCAGAGAACACCAGAGTGTTGATAACAATGTTCGAACTGATGCACCGCGTTATCATGAGAGAGAAAAAGAGCCAGCTGGCGAGTCACATGGTCAGAAATGAAATTAGTTGACTTTATTATTCTTTTCACTTCATTTCCTTTTAAATATTTTTCTTCTATAGATTTTTATAACGTACTATAGGAAAAACAAATATTTGAAAATATATAAAAAGCGAAAAAGTTTGACAAAAGTTAAGGAGAGAAAGAGAGCGTTCTTTCGAAATATAACGCTTTCCCAGCGGGATTACACTGACTTCTCGTTGTCTAGGAACAAGTTCTACTAATATAATTGTTTGTTGGCCACCCTATACATCTTTCCCGCACGGGTGGACAATCTTCTTTTACCTCGTGACCCGAACGTAAAAGATCGGGCGAAAATCAATAGACCCGAGAAGGAGACTGTTTTGGCAGTTCGGACAATTTCTCCGAAAGGATCAGGTGAAGAAAAAAAAAGCGACAAGTTCTAGAAGGAGAAGTTGGCGTTTTTACGATTTCCATTTTCAAATGTGACATACTAGGAGCGCTTCTGCTCTTCTTTTTCTTCAACGCTCTCTCCCTTTGCTTATCGATTCTCTCGTTCTCTTCTTCTTTATGCTTCTTTCTCCTATTACTGCGTTGAAAATAGCCCCCCCCCCCCCCTAGCATTTCCTACGGACCCGTTTCATTTTGTTTCACATTCTGGACCCACACACATCTCCCATTTTTCAGAACGCAAAACGAGCGATTCTCGGGCACGCCCTGCAATTATGAATTGGAGGTTTCTTGGTGCATAAAGACATTTTTCAATCCTGGATTTAACATTTTTTAATCATAGGTTTGCATATAATGATTTGGAAAATATTGAAATTTGGAAAGTTTCAGATTTTATTATTGCGGGAAACTCATAAAAATTGGCAACATTGGAGGACGACACAAAACCCGGGACGGGGTTCCTGGTCGAGGAGGTTAGTCCAGGAAAAACTCTTATTTTTTGTTTACGAGCGTAAGATAATATTTGAAAGGGATTAATCTTGAATTAGGGTAAAGCCAAAGGAAGTCAAAAACTTTGTTCGAATGACTGAACCGAGATTTTAACTATTATGAAACAATTTTGAAAAATGAATTGCAAATTTTCAAAATTCTCCGAAGAAGCTTCTCGAACCTTTATTAAATTTTTAAAAAAATTATTCGCAGTCGTAACGTAGTTTTAAGTTTTTCAATCATTCTTATTTTGAGAATTCGAAGACTTTAAACAGGTTTCTCTATGAATCGTCGAGATCTGATTTTTGAATCCATGATTTTTAGGGGAATTTTTCTAATTTTGACAAGTGATATTGCAGTATTTTTTCTTTTTAATTCAATTTTGCATTTTCGGCATTACTTGGGAACAATTCAAAATTGGTCTTTAAAGCGTCTCTGTAATTTTTTGAACTCCAAAAAAAAACAAGAAATTGTTTTATTAACATGAAAATCGATTTTCAGGTGGAGTTGGAAGAAGAAAAGCCGTCTACGGAACCCTTACGTCAACATGGTGAGCTTTTTGATTTAAGAAAAAACTTAAATTCAAATATCAAAAACGAAACTAAAGTAAATTATCCTTATTCTACCTAAGACCTGGTTTTGAATTTCTGAAGTTGTTTTTTAAACTCAGGTATCTCTCTTACTAAATCTATCCTTCAAATATAGGAGTCCATTCCCATCCCATCAATTCCTTCTTTCCTCACTTTCTTTTCCCTAAATGATTTCTCAGAATGATCAAAGAGAATATCTGCCATAAGATTATAATCTTCCGATCTCCTAATATGAGTGCCCTCGTAGAAGTTTTGCCCTTGTCGAGGATCTTTTTTTTCATAAAAGAGCCTTCACATTCCGCCCCATCGAGTTTCTCTCTTAACAAGTGGCCTTCAATGAAAAATTACCAAGTCAAACACGAGCTATAAAGCTTTTCTTTGTCGATTTATTTTGCGTTCAGATGACCTTCCGTTTTGAGAATCTTCTATGGGAAAAAGCTGTATCGAATCCAAATTCTGCTTTGAACGGCGAGATGATTTAGGAACAAACAAATACTCTCCCCTTATTTGGATTGCATGTAGCTAAGCACATAGAGCAGCTACTCTTGATAAAAGGAGAAAGAGACCGGTTTCGGAGTTTGACCAGCTGAAGTGTCCACACATTGAATACTCATAAGCCAGAACGAAATTGATAGGAATCTTCAAAAAGCTCGCCCCTAATAATTTAGAAAAATGCATAACTGGATGCACTGGTTTACTCCGAATTGTTTAGATTTTCCTATTAGTTTGTCATCAGTAATTTAATCATGTGGTGATGGAGTAGAGAACGGGTTCGTTTATATTCTGAAATATTATAGAATTGGATGCATAAACAAAAAGTGTTTATTGCACATCACAACAACATAATGCAGCTAGTTATATCTGAAGTCGAAAACGATCATTTTAGATATAATTATGAAATAGATATGGGATGCAGAGAGATACAGAAAACTTCTAACTCCTCCTCGCTCCTGGGCACTCCTGAAACGTGCATTTTTTTCACTTCCCGATGGACACTTGTGTATTTTAAGTCCCAAAAAATAAATAATAAATAATACTTCAGCAAAACAGAGCTTCGTTTTTAGAATTTACAATTTCTGGAACAAATCCAACCAAACGTAATGAGCACCTTTTTGGTATGGAACTTTCCAGAAAAGTTGTCTATTACAAACACGAATTACTTTTTTTGATAAGTATGGTTAGAAGCTTTCAGAGCAGTAGAGAATGTCTGGAGTATTTTTCAATGCCTCCAAAATTGAATTGTTTTATCAAAAAGCCCGAAAATATTATTTGTGTTTGGTCCGGTGTTTTATAGATTTTGAACTTTCTATCTAGGATCCATCGTGTATTGACGTGGCAATTTGCAAATAAATAATCACAAATTCCATTCAAACCCTGACTCATATTTTTTCCATAACTCTCATTTTTGCATAACCTGTTAGATCGAAGGATTTCGAACATTTTGCGTATTTTGAACTTTAGTTCGTCCTCTTTTTTTTCTCTCCCTGCAAAACCGAACGAGATAGTGAGAGGCTCTAGAGAAATGGGAAAACGTCGGAATCAGTTCGGATGGATTGTGGGCGGCACTGTATAGCCCCGCCCCCTTTTGGGTTTCCGTCCGGCCCGAGGCATTTGACTGCTCGATTCATTCCGTGCCTCATCCTCCGTGGTGAGCGGTCGTCTTCCTCTTCCTCTCTCTCTCTCCGTATTCGATATTAAAACTATAAAAAGTTCTTCTAGCGACAGGTTTTCGCCGTGATCTGCAGAGTTCCATGAAGAAAACATCTGAGATCATCGTGAAAGCCAGTTGCTTAAGAGGACTCATTGTGAAAAACTAGAGAAAAAAGTCTCGTAAGTTAAAAAAAAGTATTTTCAGGCACGTTCCAGCAGCAGCAGCCCTCCATAAATGATAAGAATGTGGAGGTTATAAAACAAGTGGAACGGATAACACAAGACTTTAAACGTAAAGCCAACTCTATAGACACATGTTGGGTGACAACACTGGAGAAATTAGAAAACACTTTAACCGCGATGAAGGATGAGCTTTTCAATCCCAAGGAAGACCGGGAAATCTCAGTGATGGGTCAGATACTGATTGAGGAGACTTCAACGCGGGCGGCTAAGCTGGTCTATGAGGCTACCGATTATCATAGAGACCTTCAGCACACCATTCTAAAATTGGGAAAATATATTAACACAGAGTTCGAGCATCCCACGAAGAAGCCGTTCAGACCGTCGCCGGAGTTGGAAAGAAAAAGGAATAGGAGGGATATGGGGTTCGCGTTGATTTTTGACTATATGATGAGCACTGGACTCAGCTCTGTTGGTGATTCTATGAGAAAGGTAAAAAGAGCGAACACTTGGAAGTGATGTTTCTGATAAAAATGCAAGATGCTGCTCTTTAAAGAAGCAGCTTATGTTAGTCAATGAGCAAACAGCGCAAGCACAAAAATCAATTTATGTAGCTAAACAAGAACCTTTTGAAAGTTGTGTAGCAGTGGTAGTACTAATAATTTTTGAAGCACCCAATCGACACGATACACTTTACAAATTAATATTCGCCCCCTCTAGTGTACACTCCTGTATACAGTAATTGAAGAACATGGCCACCGGCTTAACCTCGGTCATAGAAGGCAAACAAGTTTAATATCGAACCCCCTCACGCGCGGCACATTTCTTTATATGACAGGCCTGAACGATGGGGAGAATGGGTTGAAATCTATATAAGGGACAAACGTTTATAATCCTTTAATTGGGTCTAGTTTCGATAGGGAGATTCATAACTGTTCATATCAAAACGTTCATCGCACAGAACACAATATTTTACAGTTATCCATCTTCGAACAGTACTTTGATACGTTGAATGTGTCGGATCCGGAAAAATTGAAAACGATAGTTGAAGATCTACAAGGTGGAGATATTTCGTCGTCACTGGAGTTTATCAAATCGGCGCAGCCTGCTGAAGAGCATTCGCTAAGAAAATCGTTACAAACTCAGATGATCATCGAGTGTATAGAGATGGGTGAGTTGCGTAACAATGACAATAAGAATTATGATATGTCGAGTTAGATTTGATAATAGAAATAGACGTTTTTTGGGTACAGAAATGGAGATAAGAATGGGAGATATGGAAATGTATGACCTTTTGTGGCAATAAAGTCACAAAAAATTTCTGACACCCATTCAAGACAAATCAAGGGATTACCAAGGCAAGATTGATAGAAAAAAAGTTGGTCCCACAAAACCTACAATAATAGTCAATAGAATATACAATGACATATAGTTTTCAGTTTATTTTGCTATTTTGACCATTTTTAGGAGTCTGTAGCTCGGATGTCAAATTTCCTATCACTTTGAACATTTTGAAGGGTGTAAAACAGACCTAGATTGAAAATTCTGGATTTCTAGAATTTTTCGAAAATACCTTTTTTCAGCTATTTGCCAATTTTTGAAAGACCCCTGTTTTTCAGGTTTGCAGTACAAAAACGGGAGGAAAAAGCGTGTCTTTCAGAAATTCGTACATAACTGAAAAACTATAGGTTTTCTAAAAGTTATGTGAATCCAAAATTTACCATCTAGGTATGTTTTACACCCTCCAAAATTTTCAAAGTGATCCGAAACTTAGAAGCCGAGCTCGAAGCTCTTGAACACTGTCGAAATGGCTCAAAACCCACTGAAAATACGTTGTTGTAAGTCTTATTGACAGTTACCGTATATTACTCTCACTTTTCAAGAAACTTAGAACAGCTACGTGGCATTAGGGCCATTTATCACAGATATCACACTAGTCACTGTTTCAAAAACGACATAAATTGACAAGCCAAGCCAAAGAAGATACAGTAACATACCAAAACGCACCAAAAATTCTCAATTTTCCAAAAAATATGCAAAGGCATTGATCCGATATAGTGCACTTTGTACTCTCCCTCGAACTCTCCTATTTGCATTTCTTTTGATTTTGCTGCTTTCCTGTTTTCAAGTGCTATCTTTCTCTATCTCTCCATCTCTGTGACCCCCTTCTCTTGTCATGATAATATAAAAAAAAAACTAGTTTTGCAATGATTCCAGGACTCGAAAGCTATGGTCGAACTGTAAAACAACTGAAAGCGTTCGTACCGAAGGAAGGCGAGGAACAACGACAATCGCAGAGATTGGTAGGAGCACTTGTGATGGGTCAGGCAGCGAAGGAAGACGCACGATATCGGAATCTGTTTGATCAGAAGAACAAGGAAAAATTGGTTTCCAGATTGTCAGCGTTTTTCGTTCCTAAAGAGGCTCCGCTGAACTTGATGTTAGTCTGAAAATGTATTTCCTGCTGAAAATATTATTGTTCAGATTGAAACACGGATTCAAAGGTATCAATCAACTAACAGACTTCCAAGATTCCGGCCTGCAATGGGATGTCTGGATGGATTGGGAACTTCCATTTGATACATATTTCCATGCCAGCCATTCAGTGTTCACGTGTCCGATTCTCAAGGAGCAGTGTACGTGTAACAACCCTCCGATGCGATTGACATGTGGTCATGTTATCTCGAAGGATGCAATCAATCGACTGACAATCAATGTTCGGAATCGGTTTCCAAGGTGAGCTCTCTAATTCTGAAATACCTAAGAATTGGACTAACTTTCCTTTTTTGAGACAAAAAGCCGAGTGAAGTAACAACTAGCTTTCACGATGATCTCAGATAAGCATTCTGGTTATTGCTCTCAGATCAAGGTGAAAACCGACCGTTAATCACGATGGCATAGAATAATAATAGTCAAAAAAGTAGCAGTTTTGACGGGGGGGGGGGGGAGGTGGGGAGAGGACACCGGCGGAGAGCGCGTCGACACTGAATGACTGCTTTACGTCGAGGCCTCTGCGTTTTCCGATGTGGGCGGAGCTCCCGGGGCGGTGCCCCCACCCCTCTGCCCTTCTTCTCCTTTCTTCATCTCGTCGCGATTGCGTATTCGTACGATCGATCAATCAGATTTTGAAGCAGCACACAGAAAACACTCACAGAGCGCGGAAATAGTATTTGGGGATGAGAGAGCTGAGAGAAAGAGAGTGAGAGACGCACACACTTGCAGAGAACGTCTCTGACACTCTCTAAAACACACACCTCTCTAACTGAGTCTCTCAGCTCTTTGACCATCGGGCACTATTTAGAAAAAGTTTTCCAAAATGCACGGTTTAGGGGGAACAAAGGGGGAAATGTGGAAAATTGGGAGAAAATAAACTGAACCAAAAAAATGAACTGAAAAAAATTGGCAATTCTAAATAGTTGTCAACTTTGAGCCAATTTATCTAGGCTACTGTCAAAGATATTAAAAAAAAATCAACTAATGAATTGTTCATCATAACCTTATGAACATTTTAAAAGTTGACTGATTTTAGATATCTTGGATAAGAATTGAGATAATTGAGCTCGAACTTGACAGTGGTATATCGTATATAAAATCATCATGCAGATCCAGACATCTACGATTCAAGTGCCCCTACTGTCCAAAAGAGCAAAATCTGGACAATGCAAAATCAGTGGATTTCCACGCGTGGACCATTCCAGCAGAAAATGAAGATGAAGAAGCCGAAGAGCAAGTGAAATTTTTGCAATTCGTGGAATGACCCCTCATATATTCATGTTTTTTTTCAAATATAAAAATCTTTAGATTTCGCTTCCAAACCTCAGAAACCAATACATGTGATTAGTAAGGCCTTTTTCTATTTGCTACCCCGTTTTTAAAACTTTTTGTAAATAATTCAGTTTATCCTGTACAGCTCTTTTTTTTCAACCTCATGTCTAATCTCAAATCAGCTTGTGCACTTGTAATAAATTATGTTTGAACCCAAAAATTAATATGTCAGGTGAAGTGAAGTACAATTCTTCGGCAAATATAGGGTCTCTCCTCGTTCACATAATTGAACGAGATCACTGGGATTAGGGACAGGAAGTGGCTCAAACCAGTGTGTGCTCAACTCGTGGAGTGGTCTCAAAAGGTCATGACTGTATACTAATTAACATATATGAAGAGGGTCCCGTTCTCTAAAGCATTTTTTCGGAATACACTGTTCAAATAATGCGCATATATTTAAGACTCCTTCAGATCTTTTTTTCAATCTTTGACCGTCGACGGACGTGTTGCACATGTTTAAACGGCGAGTGGCTCTTTTTTTCTGTTTTCTTTGTCTTCCAGGCAATATGTTTGTTTTTCGGAAATGAATATTTGTGGTTGGGAAGACTAGGAGGGTTCCAGAAAGCGGGAGGTTGTTGATCCAAAAATATATAATCCTTTTCATCCAATATATTGCTTTCAACAACAAAAAAGTGTCCGTCTCTCTCCCTCTATTGTACAGTTGGCTTTCACAAACCAACTTTCAAGGTGATTCAGAAAACAGAGAAAAAGAGAGAACCAAGCTTTTTTATAACAACATATTATATTGCTTTTTTCGCCTCCGCTTTTTCGCCCAGCGCATTCGACTTGTTGGAATCGTATGTATCAAGGACAGAACTGAGAAATCAAAGCGGGGATTGAGAACAACTGAACATTACCATCTGAAAACTAATGATGCGGTATGCATGGGAATAACAAAAAAGTTTGGGGTAAATTCCAAATTAAAAACACCGTAATCTTTGATGAAAATGACATTTGATCTATCAGAATACCATCCAAAACTAAAATTCCCCGATAGACACTACCGTAACCCAGAAAAAAAAGATGATAACTCATCATAATTCCCCAAGAGACAATACCGTAACCCAGCGAAAAACTTTTTCAGAACATGACAATTTAGAACCATGCCATCAGTTTTGATACAGTAAATGTCAAATTACCGAAACATACCGTTAACACTTTAATAGAACGCCCCTTCAAACTGTCAACTTTAAGACCATATATCTCATTTTCTCTGGAAGATATCAAAATGGGGTCAATTGATAAATTATTCATCATAAGATCACCAATATTTTATCAGTTAACGAATTTTTGCTATATTTCCTTTGAATCAAGCTAATTGAGGTCAAAGTTGAGATTTTCCTGAAATACTATATTTTTTTCTTCTTAAAAATTTCTAATCACATCCTTCCACCTCAGACACATCTCAGTCACATTCTCAGATTGCCTGTTGTTTTCAAACTTGCTCAAAGAGCCCATCCCATCCCATTAAGTGTGTTGGCACCGGAAATGGTACATGGCTATAGCAAGTTCCGGAACAAATTAGCACCGCGCAGGAAATTTGAAATTGTGTCTCCCATGCTCATCTCAGATTCGCCCCCATTTCATCTTATCACTCCTCCTTATCATGTACGGCTTGATAATCGACCATATTGCAACCTATATCAAGGAGAAGTACGGTGAATCCACTTGGCAAGAAGTAAAGGTAAGCTGCAGGTCACTCGTCTTATATCATTTCTGCCAAATGACCGTGAAAGTAAAAACGCGATCTTTTTTTGCTGCTGCTGCGTCGAAACATACTAGGGAAGGTTGTGCAATCCGTCTCCCCAACCATTTTTCAAGGACAATCCGCTCGTTTGGCGGTTCATAGGTTATATTGCGTTGAAAGATAGCAGCCGTATTTCCTGTTAGATAACAATCACTGAAGACGAATGAAAGCGGTGGTGGCGTAATGAGCCAGTAGTGTCGTAGAAGGGAGATTAGATAAACAAAAAAAAGAAAAGGGGCCATTAGAATTGGGAGATAAGACTGTCGGAGGAATGATATACCGTTGACGTATGTCATGACTAATCTCCTTCCAATGAGGTTCGATGTACGACTACCACTATCTTTCATCCCTTCCGATGATTTATGGACCGATAGGCATGTTACATTGGTCGGTTTTGGTTTTTAGAGAAGGAGGATGCAAAAAAGGTTATTAGGGGGAAGAGAACTTTCTGAAAAAAAGTCTCCTGATCTTTTTTCAGTTTGTTTCTGGAGTCACTGATGATGCTTTTCAAATGGATAAGAAGTATTCGGAGGGATTATCACACAAGTTGATATGGGCTTGCCACGATGTCACTGGAGATCAAGTTGATGAGTTGATGAGTAATATTGGGACAAGCTTCTATAAATTTCTCACTAAATATGAGTTCAATAAGGTAGATACGACAAATTTTGTTAAATACAGTACCATTTATTTTTAAAGAGAGTCAATTTTGAGGGTGTATAAATATACCTTTTTTCTATTATAAGAGCACACTTTGTACAGTTTTAGCTCAATTATCTCAGTTCCTATAACAGATATAAAAAATCTGAGAACAAATAAAATTTTGGTGATATTATAATGAGTATTTTATCAGTCGAGCATTTTTTGGCATCTTCTGGAGAAACCATGATAATTGAGCTCAAAGTTCACGTATAGGGTGAGCTTCTATTAGAAAGTTACGGTATTTTGTTTGAATCACTTGTTCTCAAAACTTCAGAACTCCAGTTTTGTATATACCAATTTGTTTAATGAGGCCACATTTAAGTTTGATCGTTTGTCTAGAATCACGCAGTCCTAAAATTAGAGTGGTTTCAGTTTTAGTTTCGAAATTTCGGCCATTTTACGATTATCGAGTTACAAAGTTTACTGTAGTAACAAGTACAGTCGTAACAGTTCTTTCAAATTTGTTCATGGTTCTTATAAGTGACCATATCTGGAACTGGTGAGCTTCAAAGCACTTACCTATTTCCTCAAATAGAAGCCCACGTTAACGGTCAAATTTAAGCCCAATTATCTCTATATCTGTGAAAGATATCGAAAAGTTGCTAACTGACATAGTATTGGGATTATTATGATAAATATTTTTTCAGTTGACAAATTTATGAAATCCTTCACAAGAATCGAGATAAATGAGCTTAACATTGACAATTCTGGTGCGCTTATATTATAGGAGATACGGTTATTTGGTACCACATCATTTGTAGTTTGAAAAATCAGAAAATTAGTGATACAGACTAAAACTTCAGTGTCAGGTTACTGTAACTTTCACCATAATTCGTTTTTCCAACAGGTCTTGCGAGTCCTCGGCCGCACATTTCCGCAATTCCTAAACGGATTGGACAATTTGCATGAATACCTGCGGTTTACGTTTCCCAAACTCAAACCCCCATCATTCTACTGCGAACACGAAAGCCGTACCGGTTTGACACTTCACTATAGGTTAGTTGAGGGGAAAAGAAGAAAGATGACAACTCATAATAACTGGTTTAAAGGCACAAACGGGGAAGCAACAAAACATTTAGGGGTAGTGTTTATCCATATTTTCTTTTTCTTCTTTTTCTCGAATTCGAGGGAATATGAAGGAATAGAAACTGTGCGGGACATAATAGTTCAAAGATCGACTTGTAGTTTGGTGCTTGTAGGGGGTCTTATTTGTTCACCAAATTTCTCGCGCTACCCCGCTCTCGGTTTCCGCCCTTTGTGTCAAAATGTTGCAACTTGAAGATTTTCAAACAGAGTGTATGTGGTGTGAGAATGAGAAAAGACTGTTTTCTCGCCCGCACTCTTGACGATTGTTCGCAAATGTTTGATGGGGTTCTGACAGACCGAAATGTTCCTGGTCGCGTGTGTGTCTGCGGGTAAACCTTAGTTCCTAGGAACTTTAGACTGTGTATGTGTGTGCCACTAGAGTAGTGGCGGACATATGTATGTTTCAGGAGACAATGACAGAATCCACATGTGGCGTCTGACCTCAAATCGGAGTGATGAAATTTCTAAGAGAGTCTGGCAAAAACGGGGGGCCCTCCAATGACATATAATACGAACCCATTACTTTTGATTCCTAGTAGAAGAGAGAGCGAAGGGGATGGAAATATGTCATGAATACCATTACAACGTCGGCTTCCCACCAAATTACGTCGTTGAAAGATCTATTAAATTTCAATGAGAATAAAGGGAAGGCGAAGGATGTGAGAGAATTTGATGTATGGGAACTAGGTACCCCAAAAAGTTATCGGATGGAAATATCTGAGAAAAAAGGTTTGGGCATAGGTAGGAATCTAGGTATTTGAAATAGGGTAACAGGAATGTGGGATTATGAATTTTTGGAATTTTCGAGCTGGAATTCTAGTGTATGATATAGATGTGTCTGCAACAGTAAAACTTATAAGATTAGCGGAAGCTTACAGAGAAACACAAATGTGAAACATTTGCATTTATTATTCAAACTCCCCAGCTATCAAAACACTTTGAGCTCAATTATCTCAGTTGCCATGGAAGATATCAAAAATTGGTAAACTGATAAAATGTTAATGATAATTCGATGACAGTTTTATCAGTTGACCTCTTTACGACATCTGTTGGGAAAACCGAGATAATAAGGCTCGAAGGATACCCTATTTCCTCTAATGGAAGCCCATCCAAACCCTTAACTTTGAGCTCTTATATATCAGTTCCGGTGTAAGATATCAAAGTTTTGTAAACTGATAAAATGTGGGTGTTATTATGTAATTTAACTGTTAGCAAAATTTTGTTATTTTTCACAGAGACTGAGATAAATGATCTTGAAGTTGACAATTTGGATGGGCTCCTATTACAGGAACACGGTAGTTTGGGTTTTTATTATTGTAATTATTTTTTTCAGGGTTCGAAAAATGTTAAAATTTTATTAAATCAATCCCAAAATTTCCTGTAAAAACTTTGAAATTTTCTGGTAGTTCGAATTCATCTCTTCAGAAGTAAACGCCGTGGATTTATGCATTACGTGCAAGGTCAAATTCGCAACATTGCCCAAGAACTATTCCAAACGGAAGTCGTCATCGAGTTGTTGGATATCGAGCATGACATGAATTTAGAACATGTCATTATGCGTTTGCATTTCAACAATCTTGATTTCAACAGACAGGTATCTTCTTGTTTACATCTTTTCCCAATTCCCATCGGTTCAGAATACCGCATACCGTAATCTAAACGATTCGATTCTCGAGAAGGTGAAGATCACATCCGACATCTTTTTCGACATTTTCCCATTCATCATCGTCTTCAATCGCGGAATGCGAATAAGGTTTGGAAAAGACAGCGAGTTTATAGAGACAGAAAAAAAACACATACACCTAGTTTAAATCCGCCTCCGCGATGTTTTTTTTTCTTTGCATTCTTTCCTAAAAAAAATGTTTGAAAGTGCCGCCGGTTTTAATATTGAAAATGGAAGGAAGGGAAAGGTGCAGAACTAAATAAATCAATTAGGAACGGTGGGAGAGGTTGTTTGAGCAGTGACAGACCGCCGGTCCGCGGGCTTTCTCCTCGCTTTTACACTTTATAAAACAATTTCAAAGGTATGAGGGACCTTTGCAGAAACATTGGAATCGGTCTCCTACGAGTGATGGCCGGTGTCGTTGGGAAGAAGATCAATCAAACGTTTCTTCTGATGAGACCTTTCATCAGATTCCGTTGGGAAGAGGTATCTTGGAGAGGTGTGATTGTGTTTTGTGAAATATAGGGTGTGGGTGCGCCGGTATCTTAGAAAAGTCGTCGGTTTGCCCGTCCGTTGCGAGATACCGTCTTCTCTATGAAAACCGGAAACACCCTTTAGGAAGAATAGTTTGCATGTGTTTCTATCGGGAATAGAAAAACGTGGTCGAGTATTCTGCATGAGAATTTGGTGCTGCAAAAAATGTGGAGAGTGTGAATTTCAGATCATGCTACATTCAAACAATATTTTTGAGTTAATCTCATGTGAACCGATTCAAGAAGATGAGGATGGAATTTTAGTGTACAAGACAACAGATACCGATCAAAGTGAGAACTGAAAGTAGATGGAATTACAGCACCGGTCAAAATTTTCTAATTTTCATTATATTCGTTGACAATGGTGCCTCAAAATTAAGTAGATTTTTTAGATGGAGCTGAAAAATTTTAAGGTTTAATAATCAAAAATAGAGATTCCATTTTGTAGTTGACAACTTTTTCGAAAAATTCATTTTAGGGGAGATACCGAACAACCAAAAGAAGCACGCATCACTGTCAAGTTTGAGTGAATTTATAACGGTTTCTGTAAGATATATCAAAAAATTGTTCACTGACAAAACACTTTTGATATGTATCATGATGAACAATTTATTAGTTGACAACTCTTTTTTATCACTGTCCGGAACCGAGCAAAACAACTCAAATTTAAAAGGTTTTTTATTGTAGGTATACCGCTTCAAACCAACCGAACGGCAAGACTTCTAGAAACTGCATTGATTTTAGCGTTGTGCCACTTTCAAGCGATTCATCTCGTTCTAATGAATTTGTACGAATAAGTTGTCAACTGCAAAATTAAAGCTATGTTTCTGTTTGGTACACTCCAGAATTTTCAAAAAAATCGCAAAATTCTTAATTAGGGCTATAACTGGACTATTTTTCACTCAAAATGTCAACATTATTTCAGTACTGTAGCTTCAAAATGCTCACAATCCAATTCTAACAAAATTCTAAAATTTTCAGTGACTGAGGAACGTCATAGAATGGGAGACCAGGAGCGCGAAAAATTCCTGTCCCTCAAAGGCCAAATGTTCTATATGGAAGAATGGGAGAGCATTTGCTATGTTGGCATTCCTGTGTTAGTGCCATTCTATTTTCCTGTAAATTTCCAGAACCCCTATTTCAGCATGAGTCACTTGCCACAAATGTACAAGTCCGGTCTGTTTATCAACGATTTCGCACTGCACGACTCGAGTCGAGATCTGGTGCTGGCCAGCACTCAACAAGCTGCAGAACTCAAACTACTTTTGCACCAGGTAAAACAAGGGTCAAAGTTCTTTCGTGTCATTTTATGTGTCAATTTAGGAAGCGCAAAAAAGTCGTAACATGAGAGAGAATATGAATCGCCTGAAGAAAGAGCGTCGGCGAACCGACAAACTGCTTTATCAAATGTTGCCAAAAAGTGTGGCTAATCAGTTAAGGAATGGCGAGAGCGCTGTGGCATGTTGCGAGGTTTCCTGTGCTGTCGGGGAACTGATACTATTTTGAGACTTTTCAGAGATTTGATTCAGTGACCATTCTTTTCACCGACATTGTAGAATTCACTAAAATGTGCAGCTCACTGACACCGCTGGAAGTCATTGAGTTCCTAAAAGTGATCTATACCAATTTTGACAAAATCATTGATGACCACGGAGTGTACAAAGTTGAAACTATAGGAGACGCTTATATGGTCGTCAGCGGGGCACCGACAAAAACCGAGCACGATGCCGAGTTCATTTTGGATTGTGCCTCGCAATTCCTAATTGAGGCTGCAAAAATGGTCAACATGAATGCAAAAGTTCCACGTATTGATATCCGCGCCGGTGTTCATTCCGGAGCTGTGGTGGCTGGTGTGGTAGGGTTGAGCATGCCCAGATATTGTCTTTTTGGGGAAACCGTGTATGTGGCAAATAAGATGGAGCAGAGTTCAAGTGTGAGTCAGAAATTGTCAAAAATGGGTAGTCAGAATATCGAAAAGTTGGATTTCAGCCAATGAAAATTCTGGTCAGCGAGACAACGCACAACAAAATCGAAGAATCGGATCCCGGCCTCTATCAGTTTGAGATGAGGGATGAGATTGAAATTAAGGTTCGCTCGTCTCGAGTAGCTCGAGACGTGTTGCCATATAACAATTTTAAATTTTTACAGGACGACCAAACCATCCAAACGTTCTTTGTAGTCTCTAGACATGGTCCACCGCGAATACCATCTCCTAGAAATTGTGAAAGTCGGCAAGATGATTCGGTCAATGAGGATGATGAAGATGATGATCTCATTTTTCCAGGGGTAAATTTATGAAAAGTTTTAGCAGAAATTGAAGTTTGAAAATTTCAGAAATCTGGCAGAAAATCGCCGACAAGCGAGGCGGAAGATGAACTCAAGAAGAAGGGACAACTATCGTACACACCTGTTTCTGATGCTGGCATCGAAAATCATTCGATCGGCTCCAACCGTACCCCACGCCAATCAATCACTTCAAAGATTTGAATTTTTGCTGTTTTATGATATTTCCTTCCTATTTTTGATCTCAACTTCTATTCTTGTCTAGCGGCAGTGCCCCTTCGGTCAAACAATTGTTTAAAAGCGCATTGAAGGTAATGCAGCAAGGACTGCCCAAGATATTTTTTATTGAATGCATGCGCCTTTGATATCTCGAAGTATCTCGAATTTTTTGCTTATTTCTCTCAGACATTTGCTCGTTTTTGTGGATTTGTTCAAGGTTTTCACAAAAAAAAACAACTGAATTTCTTTCTGAACTGAAAAACATCTAAAAATGGGTTGAAGCAAACCGGTTCGGAGATACGGTATCGAAGGCTCATGCATTTATTCAATAAACTTCGGTTGTCTTTGCCGCAAGGCCTACAACCTGCCTTTGAATACATTTTAGGCCACAATCTGTTCATTGCCGCTGGTCAAAAACCATACTCCACTTTTTGATTACTAGAAAAAATCACATTGTCTCACATAATGCCACTTACGAAACATTTAATGTTCCTTCTCTATCCTGTGACCGGATGGAACCTCATCTTACATCTCTCCCTCCTTTGCTTTTAATCGTAAATAATGAAATGAGGGCTATGAACCAAACCATCCAACCCCCCCCCCTTGGGAGAGATTATGCATTCTGAAGAGCCTATTCTAGAGTTACCTGAACCCTGAGCGCGAAATCCGATATCTTCCCTTTTTCTGCATTTTACCTCCGAGCATTCACATCAAAATTATTTCCCTTTTCAATCCTTTCATAAATGTCCCCTAACCGTTGTTCCAGAGAATTCCGAATTTTAATATATTATTTTTTTGTACTCCTACTTTTTATGATATTCGAAATCAGAGATGTTCAATCCCAAAATATTTGTAAGAAAATCTCAGAAAAATGAACTAGTTTAATGTCAACAACTTTTTCCAGTAGTCACATTGGACAAAAATGATACATTTGCAAAATCTGCCCTTCGTCATCTGAACATTAGTAAAATGTATTTCATGGATAAATTCCCTGTAGACTCCATTACTCTAGACCGCTTCGATTTTAATGAAACATCAGACATTAACAGTCGTAAGTGACCCAGAACCAATATTTCAAATCTGTCACCATCATCCTTTTTCTTTCAGTTTGCTCAAAAATGCAGAATGTCAGTTTTGTCATAAGCGTGTGCCGCTCGTCGCGGTCGATGGGTTTAGTCGCTGAACTGGCACGAATATCACAAGTGCCAACGATTCAAGTGGATCTCAATTACTGGGCACTGCCTCTTAATTTCAATGGTCAGAAGGGTCTAGTTTTAAAAAATTGAAAGAAAGTACTTTTTTGCAGAAACTACAACTCTTCAAACAATTTCATCACCATCCTACACGACTATGGTTTTGTCTACGTTGGTTTTTCAAAATGTGATAACCGATATTTTCGCGGATTTAAGTATTACGCCAAACAGCACAGTGCTCTATGATAATATATTTCGTAAGTTTTCAGTCCTAGAAAAGGAGTCCGGTAATTTATAACTGCATAATTTCAATTTCTCTGAAAGTTTCATATACTAAACAAAACTAGAGCTTGATTTTGTAATTTACAATCAAAAACATCCATAGAATCCAGATAAGTGGTGTGAAAGGAGCACAGCTCTCACTTCCGTACCATTTCTAGCATTTTCGCTTTTTTTCTGTTTTGAACAACATACCGCTCGCAGACATGAAGGCTGCACTACTTGCACTTTGAGTTCAATCATCTCAATTTCCATAAGAGGGATCAAAATATGTCAACTGATATAATGTTAGTGATAATATGACAAACATTTTACCTAATGAGAATTTTTCTTATTTTTCATAGCAATTGAGATAATTGAGCTCAAATGGAAGTATAGTGTAGCCTTCTGTCAAAGTGATTATGGTATATCACTTGAAGCCGAAATAGATCCAAAAACGCCAGACTTGGCTCGAAAAAGTATCAATAAACGCATTAATTTCGTTGAATTTTTAAAAAATATTGAAATAAAAAAAAAGTTCTTTTAAAAACTTTCAACACTTTGTACTTCTCTTATCCCAGAACTTAATTTTCAGCTGCTGATTTCACTGCATGGCAAGGAGCATTTTCTGTTTTACCCGGTGTTCGATTCATGCAAATGGAAACTACAGTGCTCAAAATGAGAGCTCAAATCACACGACTCAGAATGCAAGCTGTCAATTCTTTGATTTTAGTTGCAAAGACTGAAAATGTGGAGAGATTCACATTGGAGGTAGCGCCCCCTTTTTTTCCAAAATCTAAAATTTTGAATATTCAGTCATCTGACTACATCGAACAACGGATTTTTAACATTTATGTGCTTACAAAGGTTCAGCTCTCGAATATTCAGCTTTTCTTTCTCATTTTCCAGTTTTCAGGACATTACCGCGTTCAAATGCGACAGTTGCGAGTCGGCGTTTATGTTTTGGTTGCGCCCGTTTCCAGTCGGCAAAATAATGGAAATTCGAGATTTGGACGACTATTTGTTCAGAAACGAAATTGGATTAGAATTGGATTACTCGATTAATGGATGGGACTCGGTAAACTTTCAAATTTTTTTTTGGAGGAAGAACCCACGTGACTTTTTTGCAGCTTAATGTTGCATTCTATATGAATGTAATGGGATATGCATTTGAGACCATAAAACAGATGAATGCAACATTTGATGTTCTTCCAACGTTCACTTGTGAAGCGGGACCATCCGAGCCAAATATCACGACTACAGTGAGAGAAGTGATTTTGGGCGATCCGGCTCATGAATATGGAAATTACTCGGAGACAGGGAATAATGTGTTTTTCCAGGTACAAAAGTCATCATAAGAATGACTATGGTATCCGCCTATGAGATATACAAAAACGTTTTTTTTTCGTTGACATTTCGACCATGTCAGGAGTCTGGAGCTTGGTCGTCCATTGGTATTCTTCGTTTTGTGCCGAAAATAATATGAAAAGAAATGTCGAAAAATTAGGATTTTTCAAAAATTCTATGAATGCAGCAATTTCAATCTTGGTTTCTTTTACATCCTCCAAAATTTTGAAAGTGATTGGAAACTTGATAGCCGGGCTCCAGCTCTCTGAAAACGGGCGAAATGATCAAAAATCCACGGAAAAACTGTAATTCTTAAAATTCTAGGATGTACAAGTGAGAATCTACAAAATTGATAGAAACCGAGAACACGAGGATGCCCTGTTCAACAAAGAAGTCGGAGTTTGGACACCCCTCTCCAAACTATCCGTCATGTACGGGACGTTACAAGTAGACGTCCGAAATTTGAATATATTTAGGGTGGTCACTCTGATTGTAAGTCTGAATGTACACTATTTCAAAAGGTTTCAAAATAATCTTTTAGCAACCACCATTCGTACAAAGAACCGGTGATCCCAACACTCCTTATGAGGGTTACTGTATTGACCTGATCAACATGATCCAAGTGGAAGTGAACTTCACTTATACCATCTATGAAGTTGAAGATGGAAGTTTTGGTACCATGGATGACAATGGAAATTGGAATGGGCTTATTGGGGCGCTAGTTTCTGGTTCAGCCGACATCGCGTTGGCGCCGTTGAGTGTAATGGCTGAGCGAGAGAATGACGTGGATTTCACAGTTCCATACTATGACTTAGTTGGTACCACGATCCTTATGAAGAAGGCTGATGTTGAGTATTCGCTTTTTAAATTTATGAAAGTTCTGGAATGGCCCGTCTGGCTGTGTATTGTGGCCGCGTATTTGTTCACCAGTGTTTTGCTATGGATATTTGATCGTTTTAGTCCCTACTCGTTCACAAATAACCAAGAGAGGTGAGGTTCACTTAAAGAACTTGTGATTTGTGTTTTTTATTGTTTTCAGATACCAAAATGACATTGAGAAAAGACAGTTTAGCTTGAAAGAGTGTCTCTGGTTTTGTATGACGTCGTTGACACCACAAGGTTAGATGGAGGTAGAACATCTGATAAAAAATTTGACCATTCAGGTGGCGGTGAAGCTCCAAAAAATATTTCCGGGCGGCTTGTAGCTGCGACTTGGTGGCTTTTTGGTTTCATCATAATCGCATCCTATACTGCTAACTTGGCTGCTTTCCTGACCGTTTCACGTCTAGAACAACCTATTAGGTATCCCACAATCAGTATAAACAGGTAAAAATATACAAATAAATTATTTTCAGCTCCTTGGACGATCTAGCCAAACAATACAAAATCGAATACGCACCAATAAAAGGGAGCGCGTCTGAAACGTATTTCAGAAGAATGGCGGAAATCGAGGAGACGTTTTATAAGTGAGCTACGGTGTCTTAAATCCCAAATTTCTAGTTCGTTTTCAGCATGTGGAAAGAAATGTCTCTGAACGAAAGTATGTCTCCACGGGATCGAGCGAAATTGGCTGTTTGGGATTACCCAGTATCTGACAAGTTCACCAATATGTGGAGATACATGCAAGAGTCGAAACTGCCTCCAGATATGGATGCCGCAGTGGACCGCGTTTTAAACTCGGTGGATGGATTTGCGTTCATAGGGGATGCCACGGAAATTAAATACGCGGCTCTAACCAACTGCAAACTTCAACAAGTGGGAACGGAATTTTCACGAAAACCATATGCAATTGCAGTACAAAGTGGACATATTTTGAAAGACAAGATTTCTAGCGCGTAAGTTGAAAAATGTTGAAAATAAATTTAATTTGGAAAAAATTCAGAATTCTGATGCTCCTCAACCAAAGGCGATTGGAAACATTGAAAGAGAAATGGTGGACCGATAATCCCAACAAAGTCAACTGTCCCGATTCGTCTGATGAATCAGATGGCATTTCCATTCAAAATATTGGAGGAGTATTTATTGTTATCCTGGCTGGAATCGCACTTTCTATTATCACACTTGCATTCGAATATTATTACTACAAGTGAGCCAAATTTGTATTACCGTGCCCTTTGTTCAATTATCTTGGTTCTTTCGAAAGATATCAAAGTAATTTTAGCTGATAATTTTATCGTTTTATCAGTATCATTATCAATCAGACCAATAGTTTTTTTGTTGATACATTTTTGATATCTCTTATGTAACCCAGATAACTGAGCTCAAATTGCACGTGTACTGTAGGTTTATATTGGAACTACGGTACTTCCTAAAACGTTAGTTTTTTTTTGCAGAAGAAAAGCTCGAAAAGCAGCTAAAAAAGAAAAAGAGCAGATGGAGATGAAGGTGCACCAAGTGATCCAAAATGGTATACATAATCACAATGGAGATGCTCCGAAAACTGCTAACAGCATCAATGAGAACGGAAATGCTGTGATGAAACGGATGAAACGGTCCAACTCGGTGGCTACATATGAAAATACAGCGTTCCAGTACTGAGCTTCTTCTTTAGAAGCCCAAAGTCCGAATTCCTAAAATTATTCCAATCTCGAATCCTCAGAAAATTCACCCGTGTCATCGTACGAGTAATATAAAATCTCATCTTATTGTTTCTTTTGTCTTTTCTCGTAATAAAATCGTATTACAATGTCTTCCGACCACCATTCAAAATAGGTAATCCCCTAGTGGCAGCGGCGGCAAATGCGCGAAAAAAAGAGACCCATATGGACATGGGCCAACTCAATTAGTGTTATGAGCAATAAAATTGCACATCGCCCTTCCCCTCTAGATTCAGGATCTAATTCATTTTCACTTCAAGAAAAGACAATCTATCATTTTGTGAGCTTCCGTAAGATTTGAGCTCTTAGCTGTTGGTGTCCTAATATTATTTCTCAAAAAACCATGCTAATGGAAGATGGAGGATTAGACACCACCTCTGAAGAATACCGTAAGCTATCAAAAGCGGAGAGACGGAAAAGAAGACGCGCTACTCCAAAATATCGTAATTTGCATGCTACTAGAGAACGGTAAGCTAGAAAATTTTTTTCTCACATTTATACTTTTTCAAGACAAATAATTTCAGAATTCGTGTCGAATCATTTAACTTGGCATTCTCTCAACTGCGAGCTTTGCTTCCAACACTCCCCGTGGAGAAAAAACTCTCAAAGATTGAAATCCTCCGTTTTTCAATTGCCTACATAAGTTTTCTTGATAATTTACTGCGATAAAATGTTTCATTTGACACATAAAAATAAATTATTAAATACGATAAACAATTATGACAAAGAAAAGTTTAGCACACATTAGTAATTACGACCATCACAACCCTTGCTGGCACCGATAAGACCAGTGGTGGAGGATTAGACTAGATTTTGATTATTAAAAAGCACCGAAAACCATGATTAGACAGTTTGGGAATATTGTTATCTAATGAGAAGTTCATCCTTTGCGGCTGTGGAATAGCATAGTTCAGCAATAGTTTTCAGGTTTGTGGTGGTGGGACCAGGCACAATCTGGAACAAGTTTGAATGAGATTCGAGATTTTTTAAAGATTAGGATCACCGAACAATTTTGGGAAAAACTTGAAATTTACGATAGCAACAAATAATGAAATCGAATTTGATAAAATTTTCAAGATGCTATAAAAGTTCGTTTTATTCGATTTTGACATTTAGTCTGGACCGCTAAAAATTCTCTTTTGTTTAACACGCATTGCTGGAAAATTCCAAAAAAAATCCTTCTGGAAATTACGGTCGGCACGTTGTTTTTACAGTAGCAGATTTATTTCAAAAGGTCAATTCAGTAAGCCGGCTCGTTGCAAGTAGGCAAAAAATTGGCACACAATTCAAAAATTACAGCGATTACGCGGTTAAAAACCCTCATCTCGGATGGTACTACATTTTAAAGGTCTTTTCTACCCCCCGAATTAAGAATTTTGTACCCCTAAATTGGTATGTGCCCCCAGCGACCCCAAGTTGTTTGTACTATTCAAAATTTTCGGCAAAACAAGCATGCAACTCACCGGTCGGATCATACTGATTGTCTCCACAGCATCTCTCGCTCTTCCTGTATACAGTTGAATAATCGATTTTGTATTCAGGAATTGTGGCGTTTGATCCTCATTCTCTTTTATTCTTCCTATGTAATCTTGTGCGTGATTGTTTGATCCCAAGAAAATACTTCTCATGGCTCTGGAATATTTTTCCGCTACAGTTCCAGTTAATGAGATAGACTAAAACGTATTTTTCAGTTGATTTTTGACCATTTTCAGGAGTCAGGAGCTGGGCTTTCAAGATTCACATAGTTTTTGGAAATCAGTAGTTTTCCCGCTATTTGCCGATTTTACAAAACTAAACGTTCAATTTTACAAAACTAAACGTTTCTTGGCCGGCACTGTGTTTCTCAAGTTTTCGTCCAATACTCACTTATGCACAATCATCAAATTAGTCCCATTAGACAAATGACTTGCTTTCTCAGCGAAATAATGCATAGCCTTCTCATCCCCGGCTTGCATCGCCATTCTCATCAGTGCTCGAGTCAAAACCACCTTCTCCTCTTGATTCTTCGTCTCTTGACGTGCTTTGTCCAACGTTTTGATAGCAATTTTGTACTCCTGAAAGCCTTTCAATAAAAACCTCCGTCTCGAGTATTCAATCATACCCCTAGTTCGTGAAGTACTCGTACGAACAAGTACTTGACACATTGCAATCGTTTTTCCCAATCTTCAATTTGACTGGCAGGCGCGTTTTGCATCCGAAAAATGTTGACAATCTGAAAATCAACCTATCGTGAAGTGTTGTTGATGTCTTCGCTGACCTGTTCAACTTGCGACTGAAGTGCTTCGATTCTTATCATACTATGCCACGGAAACGGTGAAAATCGGAGAGCCTCGGCGTGAATGATTCGTAGTGAAAACGGAACCAGACTACCTGCAAATAAAGAATGTATGTAGGTCAATTGATAAGAAAAAAGTTACCTGTCTTGTCTGCAGATTTGTACTGATAGAACAAATCGGGTGCATCTAGGTCTTCAAACGCCGCCAACTCAGCTAACAACTGCGCATGCATTCGTAAATTGAGCAATAATTGGAAGCGAAGAGTCCACAACTCCATAGTGACTTGCGTGATTTCTGAAGGTCTTCCAGCTTTATCTTTCCCCTGTCCAAGCCAAGCTAGCATGTCAGATGTTCCATTGAGCGCTCCTTCTAGTACTCCTTTCTTCTGAAAAATACCATTTTGGTTCAAATTATGTTTAAGATGAAGAACTCACAATAAACCAAATCAATCCTTTCTGGTTCAGGTCAAGGTCATAAGAGGGGAAGAATTTTGTAAATGTTTCTTGATACCGATGATCAATGGGACTTCTGATGAATTCTTCTTTTATTCCTGGCATTGTGTACTGCATAGTTCCACGAGTTTCTGGTTTTGTAGTCTGAAATTCCCAATTTTATGCTATTTGCCGGTTTTTACTAATGCAGAACGAAGCAAAATTGGCAATTGGCAGCAGCGGTAGCAGTCGAAAATGCAGTAGTTTCCAAGGTAACTTCTGCTAGGTCCTCCGAGTGAGACCCTTGCAGAAAACTATGTGAATGTAATCTTGAGCTCGTAAAAAGCTTTTTTCAGCTTCATAAAGCTTGTAAAATGTATTTTCACGCTATTAATGTAATATTACTAAAGGCGCATGAGATTTCAGGTAATTTTCTTTCACGAGAAGGTCGTGGCCCAGAGGAAATGGCCTAGAAGACTCCAGTATTTTGACTTGCACAAAAACAAAATTACTAAATTTTCAGTCTAAAAATTAAAACAAAAACATAAAATCTCACCTTATATCTATTGGACTCTGGCCAGTAAAGGAGGTGCTTGTGACTATCGTAGTCATAGCTGAGCATTCGATTTTTATCCTTCAGTTCTGGCATATGTTTTCGATAATTTGCAAAAGAACAATAATCGCAGGTTCAAGTACAACGTTGACGACTGTTTGACGTATTAAAAAATCAAAACTAATCCGCTTTCTGGAAGCAAACAGCTTTATTATTTTCACAAGCATGATAGTGATAAAGGGGAAAAGCAGATAAAGCGACAAAAGAAAGAGAGTAAAGCTGCAAAAACAAGCGGAACCGAGTGATTGGAACACGGAGGAAAAATACTGAAAAGTAGCAGTGCATCGGAAGCAAATATGTGACAAGAAATTGAACGGGTTGACTAGGATCGACGATGATGAATCGATGATTGACACTTAAACACATCACAACCGCGCTAGGGAAGCGAGAATACGGAGAACTGGGGGGAGGAAAATGTGAAAATAATCCAAACGGGAATGAGAGGGAAGAGAGAGAAAAAGTATTAAAAATGCCGCGTCGGAGAGATTGAGGAATAAATATACATTAAGCATGGAAGTGGAATAATTATGCAATGAAGAAGGTGGTTATTGAAGTATTGGTCCTATTGTTTGAGGAGGTCACGAATCGATTCTTCCTCGGTGCAGTCGATGAGAGCAGTGCCGTCTGGAGCAAAGATCGAGCGATCAGCACCCTGAAAAGAAGTCATTTTGGATTGCCTGGGTGAGGTTTAAGAGTGTTTAGATCCAAAAAGGTTCTGAAATCATTTTCGGTTGAGACACAGAATCGCTGGAAAGCTCCTGAAGCTCGCTGCTCAATTATCAAAAGCGCTACTCCGTCAGCGAGAGTGTTATTCAGTTAGCGATAACACTACTCAGTTAGCGATAGCGCTGTTTAGTTATTGATAGCGCTACATAGTAAGCGACGGCGCTACTAAATTAGCAAAAGCGCTGCTCGGCTCAGTTAGCTACAACTCTACGTAGTTAGCGACTTAGTTGGCGACTACCCAGCTGGCTATGACACTACTCCGCTTCAAAGCATGTACCTCTAAAATTTGCAACACGCTCTCAAAAAATATACTCTCAAAAACTCACGTGCTCAAGAAGCAATTTGACAGCATCATGATGACCCTCCCAGACAGCCGACAACAATGGAGTGATCCCGTACTTGTCCTTCTCCTAAAACCAACAACTACAATTTGAAATCTACTAATATACAAACCTGGATGTTAGCCCCAATGCTGATCAAATAGTCAATCACAGCGGTCTGTCCATAATCGGCGGCGATTTGAACAGCAGTACGACCGTTGTACACTTCGTGGACGTTTCCAGCGTTGACCGATTTCTTGACAGCGTCGATCTCACCGTTTTGCACATCCCAGGCGACAGACATGGTTTTTCTAGAAAATCAGATAAAATTATTGCATGCTCCCGAAATAAAATTAGGTAAGAATTGAATGGATAAATCAACCATTGGGAGAAAAGAAAAGGAAAAATTAAGCGCCTACTATTATTTTATAACTTTTATTCAAGCAGTACAACTTTGATTTGGGGGGGGGGGGTGTGATATTGATTGAAATACACAAAAATGTGATTTCGTAGGGGGCGAAAAATAAAAGGTGTGAAAAAAACTGGACAGTTCAGTTCAAATAGAAAAAAATCAATCAATTGCAACGTGTTTGTTTGTGTGAGCGCTTGCGCGCGAGATGGAGAGTAAAAAAGAACAGAAAAATTTAGGATGGAATAGAGAAAACGAGCGTATTCGGTTCAATTACGTTCGTAAATCTCCGGACATAATGTAAGACCTAGAATGGAACACAAGAAGACGTGAACCACCACTTCAACTTCACGGATGTGAAGAACTCCATCGACCAAGTTCAACTGAGCAATGCTTCCATCGTTATGCGAAAATGCCTGACGCCATCTTCTCAATCGAGCGGCGTCAAGTGCCTCAGTCACATCTGAGTCCATATTATATCTCGCATAAAGCCATCTCCAGCTTGGATTCCTCCCATTCTCATCTTCGTCAGATTCAGGAGAAACTCTATCTTCCTCGGGATCGTTGAATTCTTGGCGTAGTCTCTCTTCCTGTTCTCTCGCCATTCTTGGATAATTCACAACGATTTCTCCATCTCGGCCAACGACAGCATGGTTGACGTCCAGAATAAGCACTTCTTGTTCATCCACTCCGCTATCCTCACTGCTTTCATGCCTATCATCATCATCATCACCATGGTCCGGTTGGTTTTCCTCATTGTCGCCGTCTTCTTCATTTTCATCATCTTCAATTTCACTATCCTCATTAGCAATATCACCATCATCATCTGATTGATGCTCCTCCTCTTCATGTTCACTGTCCTCATTAGTACTATCACTATCATCATCTGATTGATTCTCCTCCTCTTCATTCTCACTGTCCTCATTATCACTTTCATTGTCATCACTCGAATCATCATCACTCGAATCGTCATCATTTTCAGCACGTCTCGTTGGAGGATCACTACGAAGAACCGTTGTTCCGGGTAATGGAATTTTAGTGAAAGATATCATAAATGGGGTGTTGAAGGCTGTAGTGTACAATTCCTCTGAAATAACTCAAAATTCAAATCAACAACAACTGTGATAAGCTCATACCGGCGAAGATCACTTCGTCGTACAGATGTGGCATGACTAGTGGGAGATCAACATCTCTTAGGTGCCCACGAAGATGGATAAGTATTTTTCTGGAAATCGAACTGTATGAATAAAGGATTAAAAGAAATGCTCTTACCCATTCTCACAGACAGTACTTTGCAGTCGTCTGAATCTTCTGGCGCGCAGGAATTCCCCACGTTTGTAAGCCTTATCAAAAACGTGTTTGAGATTTTGGGAAGTCACGAAGTGCCAGTCCGTGGTTACCGTAATTCTGAAATCAAATCACAGCTTGAGAAAGTCGACAAAGAAAACTTGAAATCTTACTTTTCTTTCCAGTTTGCGTCTATCGCATCCATTCGCAATCTATCACGGTAATCCAGATTGTACAAGTTGTGCAGACAGAATAGAACACTGTGGTAGTAACCAGCGTCCACGATGAAGTAATGCGGTACGTCTGGTACATAGTCCATAAGACTACTGAAAAGAAAGACGAATAGTCGGTCGCCTCCTTGAACCGAGCATTCGCGCTTTGGGAAGCTGAGTGTTGCCAGAGTCTGAAACATTAACTTATGGATTACAAGTATGGGGTACTAGTCCGTTTATTTTTGAAATTGTTAGCAGTCTGGGGTTTGGGGCCCATGATCCAAGGGTACATCGAAAAAGGGTACATCAAGGGTACATCAAGTTCCGAGAGTACAATCGTTCCGAGGGCACATGGAATCTTGAGATATAGTGCGTCTAAACCTAGCCTATAAATTTTAGCAAAATGCAAAATAGCTGGTAAAAAAATAATTCGCTATTCGTTAGCCCACATGTACCACAATATCCCATGTGTACTAGGAAGCTATGCACCCTTTTCACATGTACTCTTGGATACTGGGCCGGGCTCGGTTGTCAAGCTCCCGTTCATTTCGAAAATCTTTAGAGTATAAAGCAGATCTAGCTCAAAAACCTTGCATATACAGAATTTTTCGAGAATTTTTCGTTTTTTCTGCTGTTTGCAAATTTCTGAACAACACCTTTTTTTAAAACGTTTTTGTACTGAGAACGTGATAAGTCGGCAAAGAGCTGAAAAACTAGGAATTTTGGAAAAAATCCTGTGAATGCGAAGTTCGCAATCTAGATCTATTTCACACCCTCTAAAATTTTCAGAGGGATCTGAAACTTGACAGCAGAGCTCTGGCTCAATATCAACTAAACAATACGTTGTTGTATCATCCTTGTTTGGCGGCGATGAATGAACCTTACAGTCCGAACTTTATTTAAAGGTGCATCGTCGGTCCCGAAGCAAAAACTGCTACGGTTCTCACAAATGCGCATGCGCTGTTGATACAGTACTTCGGAAGTGGTTTACTTTGACCCTCTCTTGGCTGTTCTCCTTTTAAAAAAAAAATCAGCGGATTATTTATGAGAATTGGACGGAAATAAACAAAAAAGAGGAAGTTTGGGGCGAACGGGCAAAAATAAAATAACTCCGAAGTACTGTATTAAAGGCGCATAAATGTATTTGTAAAACCCGTAGCTCTTTTTGCTTCAGGACCAAAGATGCGCATTTGAATAAATATTCGGCTTAATGATTCATCGCTGCCGGCTAAGAATATACGTCTTACTGGCCGGTACTATATATAATAATTACCTTGCACAACACTCGTTTCTGTAGTTCATCCATAAATTCGACAAACTGCTCTCCAAACTCCACGGCTTTCTGTAAAACTTCATTCTTCTCCTGAGCACAGTATTTTGTGAGAGCGCACTGACGAGTGAGATAGATCAATGCGTGGTTAGCAGGCGCCTGAAAAAACTTGGTATAGTTTTCTTTGTTTTCTTTTTTATTCTTACTTGAGCCATCATAGTTTTCAATCGATTGATGTGCCGTTCAGCGACTTTCTCGATTACAGAACAATCCATAGCGCAAGACTTGACGAGCTCGTGAAACAGACGATCGATATTGTAGACGTTCATCGTTTTCACAAGCTAAAAACCTCATAATACCCACTGAGAAAACGATTGAGCAATACTTACAGCATACAAAAACTCTTCCTCAATCGTCTCCTTCAATGCCGTGCCAACCAATCCGATCTCCTCACGATCTTCCAGATGATGTTTTTTAATCATAAACTTCATCGCGTCTTTGCCACGCAGAAGGTTTCTATCGACGAGGTGTGTCAGTGCTACGAGCATCGAATGAAAGCAATAGTTTTTCGATGCGAACACGGTTTCCATGAGTTCCGGAAAATCGTGTACTTGTACTCTTTTAGCAAGCTGAAACAAAGATTTTGTTCTTTTAAAACCATATGAGAAGTAGTATCTCACCGTGTAGAAGGTGCTGTCGACATTTCGCAGTTGCTCATCACTCCAATCTGGTTTCACGTACTTCTCTAAATATCTCAGAATATCGATTCGTTGCCGGTCAGTGATGTAAGGATCAAGTTGATTGTGAACGCATGCTGAAAGAAATCATTCATCATCTATAAAAAATCACGAATGCTTACAGTGCGCCAGAGGCAAAATCATGGCTCCAAGAGTTCTCTTCGCTTCGGAATACGAATATGGATTCTCATCGGTGATGGCTGATGTGATAGTGAGAACACACTTAGCATGAAGTTTTTTCTGCTGTTTGATCCAGTCTGGGATGTGGGCCAGGATATTCACACGTTCCTGTCTGTACATATCAATGGGGATGAAGGCGCCGATTTTGTGAAGATAGGAAGCATAATGTGGAGATTTCGTTCCGAATCTGCAAGTGAGAGATTTAAATGAACTCCAGTTATTTCCAGCAACTCACGTCATCACAGCCGCAATCGCTTGACGGTGAATATGAACATCTTCTGATGCCTCGTGTATTCGATGCATAAGATGCTCAATCCGACGGGAGTTGTCGGTGAGCAAGGCATTGTACAGGCATTGGAACCGTTCCCCGTCATCCATAGTCCTCACTGAAACATTAATAATTTGATTGAATTTAAGAGCAACGATGGAAGAGACGCGTTGTGGAACATGAAAGAAAATTGCACAACTATTAGGTTGGTCCATAGGTTTTTTTCGACGGGGGGGGGGGGGGATCGACGAGCCAGGCTGCTCCATGCCTTTCTGGTGGCAGTGCCGCCTTCCACTCTCTCAGAACGGATGTACGGAAAATGAAGCACTCAGACCCTCAATTTCACCAACATAGCGTCTCTCTTAATACAGAATGCAGCTATTTTTGAAACGCGGCTCGCAGCGTTTTTTTTGTGAAAAAAAGGAAATCGAAGAAACAGAGAAGGGCGCGGAAATTAAAATGTGTGTGACGTTTGGAAGGCAGAAAAGGCGTTATGTGACGACTGGCACTAAGAATGCTATCGAGGAAAAGAAGAACCGAATTCGAAGGAGACAGCAAGGGCAGCGGTTTGTAAAGACTTAATCAAAATAGGGAAAAAAAGTGAGAACTGGAAAGGAGAAGTCTTAGAACGCAGAAACGTGCAGATATGAAGATTATAATCTACGGCCAAGAGAGCACTTTACGTAAAAACACACTAAAACTACTAAGTGATGAACTTCAAAATGCAACTGTAGCTCGATTACTGTATTTTTCAAACAGTTTTCTCTGAGCCGCAAGTTGCCTAGACAGTCATGCCTGACTATTTCCAAAATCTCCGACTATTTTCACGCTAACCTGATCGTTACGTTTCAGTGTAGTCAAAAATTTGGGGCCGTGGAAGAGAAACGCCAGTGCTCACAGCCTAAGATCCCAAAACAAAAACTACCGTATGCAAAGGAATTCGAAAATGGAATAAATTAGGCTACGGTAGTTTTCGTGCTGAAAGTTTCCGCCACGACAACTAAAATTTACTTTCTATCCAGATAACTTTTAGGCCAGTCGAAAGTTATTTTTCGAATTGTAGGTAGAGAACACATGTGTTTTGAGTCAACGCGCGCGAGAACCTATCTACGAGGAGTTCGTTGGGGCGCAATTGCTGACAATGGGCTTGGGACTTTCAATATCAATGTATCGGAGATTCATTGATACTGATGCTAACCTTGAAATTTATCAAAAAGTAGTTCCTCTGAGAAACATACCGTTTCCGACCTTTTCAGTTGATAGAAAAGAGAGAAATCAGTCAATAGAAATGAGAAAATACGAAATGAAACGTTGAGAACCAACAGGTTGATAACATGGACGTAGTCTTCCAATGGCAAAAATAAGAGTCAATGAGGAGGGCAGCAAGAACAGCTCTCTGTTCTCCGTCGTCCATGTATTGGTGTCCACAACATAGACACTTCTTGTGTCTTCCCACTCTCTCCGGTCACCACACTATTTGTCGACTGTCTTTGCGAAGGTCTCGCGAGCGCACCACAGTCGATGACACACCCTGCGCTGGTCAGTTTGATGTCTGTGCCCTCCGAGGCCGCACATGCTATTAACTAAGGGTCCTGTCGATCTGCGCACTCGTTTGGGCCAAGGCCAGCACGCAGCCCATCCTACTTCGTCGAACCTGCATTCTAAAGGAGAGGAGAGAGAAGAAAAAAAGCGTTGACACAAGAAGAAAGAGAGAAGAAAGAGGAGGCAGTGTTTGGGACGTTGTTACTACTACGATGGGAAGACGAGTATAACACAAAGGACTAGGAAGAAGAAAAAATGTGCGGTGGTGAGTGGTTGAATACATATATATCTCAATTTCATTCACAAACACAATCGTATTCCAGAAAGAATGAACAAGTTCTGCGACTTCATCGATGATAGGATTGACGATGGGACGTTTACTCCAATGGTCAATGCGGCCAACTCGTCAATGCGGCAGATTGGTAAAGTGAGGCTTTTAAATTGAAATTTTAAAAGAGTCGGCGTTTTAACGGCGTTTTAAAAATGAGGAAATTGAAAATCAAAACGTTTGGATGGCTGGAGTCACTAGAAAATGATGGCGCTTTCTGGCAGAAATAGAAATGAGTATCTGGCGGAAATAAAAAGCAATGTGTGGATTAATCAATTTTTTCTAAAAAAAATCGGAGCAAAATCTGTAACAGTAGATCCCCCTAACTTGAAACTTTGAGCCAAAATTTTGTCAGTGGACATAATTCTGATATTTTCCATAGAAATTGAGATAATTGAGCTCAAATTTCATAGTGTAACGCCCCTCCGTTATACGGTAGCTAAAAATTCAAAAAGTTGACAGCTGAAAAACACTAAGAATTGGCATACTGTAAAATTAGAGCTAATTTTCTTTACGATATTTGTCAGAATTCATGCCATAATTTCAGTTAATTTGAGAGAAATTATTACTGTATGAATAGAAAAAGTGTGAATAGAAAAACAGTGCAGAGAGTTGTGGTGAATGGGGGTTTTCAGAATTTCAACGAAAAATATTTAGAAATTAGCTGCGGAAAAATCAATTAACGAGTCTTAAACAAAAACTTCAGATCCGTCAAATTTTCAGTTCCTCGTCTTCTTCGTCTACTTCATCTCAGCACTTCTTGCCTTCACCTCATTTTTCATTATTATCCCATATGAACAGTTGTGAGTTTTTTGTTTCAAATAATTCCGGATACAATACCCCGGTCCTTTTGGTCCGGCATTATGAAAACCGGTTATCAGCTAAAAAATCGTGAGACTGTTTTTGCTAAGGTCTTGATAGCGCAAAAGAAGTCCCAATTGTCCAAAAAGCTTCATTTTGGTCCGAGTCGAGCTGACAAAGAGATTCTTTTGTGCTCGAGAGGTTTTGAGCAATTAAAACAGATATGAGAAAACTCGACGAGACCTGTAAGGTGATACGACTTGATGACATTACGTTTGGTTACAAGCAAAAAAAACCGAAAAATGTAGGGTTGGTCTATATCTAGCTTTATAGCAGGTTAGTAGGCGAGATACAGTATCATCTTGTAGTTGTCTGAGTGTTCTGTTATATCTATCTTAGTTAGCCAAAGAAATATTGAGCTTGGCATAAGCTATGAGCCGGTAGGTTGTCAAAATTTGAAAACTTTCAGATACAAACCAGGATGGCTACTCATCACTCTAGGTGTCTTTGGAATATATTTTCTGATCAATATTCAATATCATTACTACAAGGCTAGAACGATAGCACCCGTTGCTAATCCTGGGGTACGTTTCCTCCTTATTTTGCAGAAAAATTCACAGTTTGGATTTTAGGAAGAAGGTGATGAATTTTGCGACAAATGCAACTACTGGAAAAGCGACAGAACACATCATTGCTCAGTGTGCGAGCGGTGTATATATGGCATGGACCATCATTGCATTTGGATTAATCAGTGTGTTGGATCACACAATCATCGCCATTTCTTCCTCTTTGTAGCAAATTTGACACTAGCTGCCAGTGTTATCATTTTTGCGGGTTTCCAGTCATTCTATGATCATTTGTTTATGGTAAAAAGGATCTTTGAGCTATATAATAGTACTATTTTCAGGAGTACTCACAATACACATTTTGCACAACAATTCTGGAGCACGCACCTCTTCAAGACATTATTTGTGAATACGATGGTTGGTACATGACTTTTTATGAAAAGGAGGAAAATAAACACTACAGTTTTGTGAAGCGATTTATGTTTATGTACAGTACGGGTCGGAAATATATGCAGAAACGTATTTGTCGGCCATTTCGAGCATTTTCAGAAGTCTGCAACTCACCAAAACTAATTTTTAAATTCCTAGTTTCATCAGATATTTGCCGACTTCTGAAAGAAACCTGTTTTTTTTCACCCTTACAGTACAAAAACAGGCTGGAAATCGGTGTCTCTCAGAAATCGACAAGTAGCTCAAAAACTAAGAATTTTCGAAAAATCTCTGTGAATGCTCTTATTTAAATTTCGGTCTGTTACACACCTTCCAAAAATATAGAAATGATCGGACACCTGACAGGCAAGCTCTAGGCTACTGAAAATCGTTGAAATGGCCAAGAATCAACTGAAAACTATTTTTTTTGACGATCTTATCGGACGGTGCTGTATGTTTTGGGTTACTGATTTGATATAGAATCTGAAAATATTCATTTCAATATTTCAAATTTTCAGGATTTGCGAGAACTGCAGTTGTCTTTTCTTATCTCCTCAGTGGCATCTTATTGGTTATGGTTGGCGGCCTTACTTTTTGGAACTTCTACTTGATATCCATTGGGTGCACATATATTGATTATTTGGTAGGTCAAATGAATTGAAACGCTTTTTCCTTCAAAAAAAAAATTTTCCAGAAACGAAGCGGAAACAAAAAAAAGCAGCAAACCCTGAGAAATCGGCTCAACAAAGGCTTCAAATCCAACTGGAAGAACTTTTTGGGGCTTCGACGGAATCGAACATTTTTCCGATGTGTTATAATACCAACTACATTCCCGCCGGTGATATTTGAGAATATTAATACGCGATACGATAACTTTGATATTGTATGATTTGAATTCTTGCCCATTTGCTCATCGTCAAGCTCACCCGAAAACTCTTGTGATCTGCTTAAGCTCCTGTTGGCATTTACGGTTATGTTGCATATTCTGCATCAACGAATTAGAACGCAAATTGATATATTTTCAATCCATAATAAAGAAAGACATACAATTCCTTGTTCGCGGCAGTTTGGTGAAAAACTAGATCAAAATAATTAATTTAAAACAAAATTGCATAAACCCGTAACACTTTCGTTAGCACCCTAAGACAGTAGATTGATACTCAGGGTTTCTTATTGCTCCAGAATTCGTCCAATGAGATTGCGGAGACGTTGTCTAGCACATTCATCACGGGTCGTTCGAATAGTTCCTTGTTTCGTCGAGTCCTTACAGTGCTGCCGCCTCTGTAAATCTCATAATTTGGATAATTTTCATTTATAGACTTGAAAAACCTGGTATTGATACTATGGAACGTTCCTTCCCTGGTCGGCATCGGTGGCAGTGTTCTTGGCACAGGCTGAGGCGCTGCACTCACTGTTTCGGCATCTTGGTCGTTACCAAGAATGCCTGTTTCTACTGCAGCCACTGCATCTGATGAGTTCTCCTCGCTCATAGGTAGCCGATTTGGTACTGGAGGCACTGGGAACTTTTTCGGAGCTTGTCGACTGTTGCTTTCAATGGGAACAGTGACTGGTGAGCTTCGGGAGGTTGCCCGGTTTGTATCGTTGTTGAGTTGAATGACATCTGAAGTTGCCAAATTTGAGTAGGTGAAATTTAACAATGTAAAAATAAGTAATTCTAATTTTTCGAATGTCGCTCAAATAATAAAAATATCCCTAAAAATATAGTTTTTTTCTGAAGTTGTCTTTTTCACTCTATTAGCACTTTAACTAAAATTACCGTGTTTGCTTAAAAAAAAGCCCACCACATACGTGTAATTTGAGCTCAATTATATCGGTTCCGATGAGCGATATATAAAATTTACAAAAAATCATAAACTGACCAAATGTTGATTATAATATGAAAAGTATTTTGTCAGTTGATTACTTTTTGATATCTGTTACAGGAACCGAAATAAATCAGCTCAATGTGCACGTAAAAGAAACGTTCTAGCTTGCTGTCTGGTAGACAACTGTTAAGTTACTTTGAGCTTAATTATCACGCTTCCTGTGAGAGATATCAAAATTTTGGCAACAACTAAAATGTTGGTGCTATTATGGTAGAAATTTGATCAGTTGTCAAAATTTTGCTGTTTCTCATACGAAACGAGATAATTGAGCTCAAAAAGGCAGGTACACGAAAGTACTGTCACCGTTACCACTCTGATACGATTGGAGCTCAATTATCTCGGTTCTTCCAGTAGATATCAGAAAACGTTTAACAGATAAATTATTCATCATTTTTCTTCATTATTTTTGCAGTTAACAGATTTTACAAATCTAACATAAGAACCAAGATAATTTAGCTCAAAGTGAGCCTACAAGGAATCCGCTAGCCCGATCTAGTTGGTCTAGTGGACAACTGTTATTGTCAACTTTGAGCCCACTTATCTCTGTCATGTTGAAGATATCAAAAATGTGTCGACTGATAAATTGAATATCACGCCAATACCAATATTTTATCAGTTGACAACATTTTGATATCTTTTACAGGAGCTTAGAAAAAGTTTTCAGAGTTCAAATTTAATGGCGATGACAGTGTTGACAGTATTTTGCTTTTCGATTTTTTATTTAAAATTATCAGAAATTTGTATTGAAAATGCGGTCGTTTTGAAGTGTTTTAAAACTTGAGTTTCTTATTTTTGAATCTTTATTCGAAACACTTTCCTCATCGAACCAAAAAAACTTACTTTGCCCTCCTCCTCCTCCAGAAACTCTCGGTTGCTCCGTATTATGCGAAGACTCGCTCATGAATGCATTCTGCTGAATGGTTGCATTTTCCGTGTGTACGCGAGCATCTTTTTGTTTACAACACACTGAAAATAACTTCTTTTCAGAACACATTTCTTCGAAAAGCAAACTTACTGAATAACAGAAATGCAGCGATCGTCAAAAACAGTAATCCAATCAAAAACAACAGCAGGAATAGTGTATACTGACTGTTTTTCGAGTAAGCCCCATCGTAAATATCTATAGCATTCGGTTCGTACAATTCTGATGTTCCATTTTTGAACATCTCGCAGATGTATCCATTGAAAGAGCCACAACTATCCATGCGGAACAAATTCTCGTCACTGAACTGCAGAACCATACAGTCGTTATCCTCATTGTTGTCTATGATATCAGTATAATCTTGGCTAAAATTCAAAAAGATGAAATCGAAATGTAATTGTTGTCACTAACCGAGAGAATAGCCTCCTTGCGAGTTTAGCCTCCTTGCTCAAAATATATATAAGTTTCCCCTCAGTTACTGCATCATTGTTTCCAGTCCAGATTTTGTCAGGAACACCTTTGAATAAATCTGAAAAGATTTATGACTCTTGTTTGCTGACGAAAATAATCTTACTCTCAATTTCCGTAACTTTCTCGTTGGAATCCAGCATCAACAAGTTGCTCCTTTGATCCAAGCATCGATTCTGGGCTTTAACCCAGTCCACTTTTGGGTCAGTGACTAGAAGTACACATCTACCATCTGCAATTTCTCTCCAACCAGGTGGACAAGAGGTAAGGTCTGAAAAGTTTCAGATTCAATAGAAGCTCATTTTATACAATACCAGGTAATACGATATACAAAAACGAATTTTCAGTTGGTTTTGGCTACTTTCAGTAGTCTGGAGCTTGGTGTTCAGGTTTCCAATCATCTTGAAAACTTCGGATGGTGTGAAACAGATCTAGATTAAAAACTTTGCATTCACAGAATTTGTTAAAGTTTTATGAATGCAAAGTTTTTAATCTAGGTCTGTTTTACATTTTTCAACGTTTTTAAATAAATTAGAAACGTGACAACTGCGCTCTAGGTTTCTGAAAATGGTCGAAAAGGCCAAAAATGAACTGAAAACATGTTTTTGTTTATCTTGTTGATTATTTCAAGCTCAATTATTTGGATTGGTTTGAAAGATTCGAAAGATTTATCAACTGATAAAATGTTGTTTGTAAAATTATCAACAGTTTCTACGTTGACATCTTTTCCATATCTTTGACAGGAAACGAGATAATTGAGCTCAAAATTGCCATTTTGAGTGCGCTTCTATAACTCACCGAAATAGCGATAACTCAATCTTGCTCCACGAAATTCGTACAGCTCATCCGAATGGAACGTTAACAGAAGACTATTATTTATTGAAATGTATTGCTGCTTGAATTTGATTTCCTCACAGAGCACACTAATTCTGGACACATTTTTGTTTTCTGAAAAGTACAATTTGCTCAAAATAGCAGCTGATCAAGCATTAACAACAAACCTTCTGACAAACTGATGTAATCAGAGCACTCTTCAAATAGCCGTGGCTCCATTTCCATATCAATGATTTCGATAACAATTCGCGTTTTATCAGGAGCTTTGATATAGAATTTGCAGTCTAAAAAAGCCGGATATTTGTAGCTGGTTTCATAGTTGGGTGTGGTCAGATATTGTTCTTCCTTGGTTGCGTTTAGGAATATTGTGCCTGGAAAAAAATTTGAAAATTGTGACATAATTAGACAACAAACCTGCACAGGAATTGGAGTTAGAATTCTGTTGCTGTCCCAAGATTTCTGATATCGATGATAATAATAGAAAATATATAGTGGGAAGCCAAAACGGGCACAACGCGGTGGACCGCATTCCCGCGCTGGGCCTTCCGCCAATGAGCGGCAATATATCAGGAGTTCGTCGAAGGGGTCAAGCGCTCTCTTCTGCCGCCGCCCCGCCAAGTGTCCACACACTCTAGCGCGCCTAATAGAGTGGCTCGCGTCGCTAAGTAACCGGTGTGAATTCTCAGAGGCCTCAATGGCCTTCGAAATGGAACAGAAGTGGACACCACCTCTTCCGGCCGTGTGTGTGTGAGAGATCTGGAGAATAAAAACGTTGCTATTTGAAATGTGGTGAAATTGAAAGCCAGAAATGAGAGAATGGATAGTTAAATGACGAGATTAGAGCATGAAATTTGGAAATGGTGACTTTTAAGGAAATTGGAAAGTTTGAAGAAACATTTCGTCAATGGTAAAGAACTTTCCAAATTTGGATAGCCTTTGATAGAAAATTCCATGGAAATTCAAATTTTGGAAGTTTGTGTTGATTGACGTAATCTGGAAAGGTTGTGGGAAAACCTTGTGACAAAATGAGAATAATTAGAGGAGTTGTCAGAATTAAAATAAAATATTTTAAAAGTAAGAGGTGAACCTAAAACTGAGCTCCACGATCGATAAGGTGAAATCAGAATTTTTTCAGTCTTAAAAAGTTCGACAGGAAATTATAGATAGGTTCTAACCTTTTATGATAATTGGGAAGGTCATTCCTGTACTTTTGTTACTGACTTCCTGTAAAAAGTACAAAACAAGTGAAGATTCATTGAGTTCAAAATGCGTGTCATTTGGGAAAAACAAGATTTGGGATCTATTCAATTATAGGGCATCAAAACCAGGTAACGAGTAGCACTCGCTTGGGAGAATGAAGAAGCTAATTGGGAATTTTTAGGGTACTTTTGCTATAAGGTATGAAACATTGAAAAGACGAAATTCGAAAAAAAGATGAAAAAACCAAAAAATCCTACATCAAAATGAACAAAAGGCAAAAACCACAAAAAATTGCACGCCTGCAAATTTTCCTTGAAACATATAGTAGCAGAGTCCTAATTTCGATCTCAATTATCTTGGTTTCTCTTAAAATATCAAGAAGATGTCAGCTGATAAATTGTTCATCAACCCATCACAAACAGCTTATCAGTTGACACGTTTTTGATATCTTCCATGTGAGCCAAGATAAATCAGCTCAACCTTGTAGTGTGGTTTTCCGTGAAGAAAGTTCCTAATTTGGATGTTACACACAAGATAAGACTGACTAAAAACAGAAAGTTCAATATCTTGGGAACAAGAAGTTCAGCAAAATTCGAAATAGTAAGCAAACCCCAAAGAGGTCGAATACTAGAAATCATACACCCAAGAAATTACAGGAACTATACAAACTGCAAACAAGAAGTAAGTGCAACTTGTTCGTAATAGCTCTCCGTAAAAAAGGACCCTCGACTAGGCCCGCCTCGCTTCAAGAAACATACATTGCTAGTTTTGACGTGAAAGGAAATGGTTGTGTTGAGAAAAGAGAGACCTTGAGAGGTCCCACCAGTGGACGGAGGTTCTTCTTATTCCCCTCCTTTTTGCGGCAGGCGGACCAATTTATGCGTTGCTTACTGCCAGGAGGTCGTAGTGTGTGTGACATTCGGGCATATGAATTTGATGAATTCTGCTCAAAAATTCCACGGAATCCATCGCCGATAAGGTATCAGCGTCTTCCTGACTGGTAATAAGGTAACGACATGTATACACGCGTTGTGTGTGTTGCGAAATGATGGGGTGGAAGGGACATGACTTCTAGAATTAACAAACGGAAATAGTGGGAAGGAATATCACTTCCAACAAGAAAATACGGAAAGTAGGCGTTAGAAACATCATCATGAAGCTAATTTCAAAAGTACGAAATTCAGGAATAATCCATTGAAAAAGCCAGAAAGCTTCATTAGCCTTGGTAAACTATTCCCATCTAACAAGGCTAATCAAGGGTGCACCAGGAATGGCAAGAAGCATTGTTGAAGGCGCAATACACCTTACACGAGAAGCAGGTGGAAATTACGACCACCACAGGCGAAGTGTCTCATCTGGAGCTCCAAACAGGAGATGCACATATATATGCGTACCGGAAATTTATAATCGTGTTAGACGAACACTATATTTACAGATTTATTATGAGGCAAATGGAGGAGAGAAGAAGCATATTTAGCATTATTAAAAACGTAGTTGTACACGTATCTGATGAACCACTTATTATTATTTTTACTCTAACTATAACAACAAACAAGAAATTAGAGAAAATGGAAAGCCGCCGCGGCTAAAACGAGTAAAAGTTTGGACGAGGGAATTGAGTATAATAATGAAGAGGAGGAGGAGGTGATAATATTTTGTGATATTGCATCGTTGGCTTCAGCTGACAGGGGTTGGGTGCCACTACACATCAATTCAGTATCGTTTTTGAATTTCCGGGCTTCAACGTCGAAGGAATCCAGGATTTGCTCCAGTTTTTCATCCTCCTCTGGAAAACAAACTCTTCTTGCAGAATTTAAAAAAAACCAACACCTACCTAAAATGGTGATTCGGAAAATGGTACACCTTGTTTGATAGAGCTCTCGTGTGTAATCAACTTCTATCTGAAAGAAAGAATTTTCAAAAAAATATGTATCTACCGTATTTTCTCTGATAGAAGCCCACGCAAACCGTCTATTCGAGCTCAATCATCGCAATTTCTGTGAAAGATAATAAAAAAATGTCAACTGATAAAATATTGGTGATATTATGATGTTTAATTGATTGGTTAACAAATTTTAAATATCTTTCCCAGAAAGCGATTATTGAGCTCAAAGTTGACGGTTTGTGTAGACTTCTATTGGAAGAAGTACGGTAATTTAACAAAAAAAGTTTTGGATGGTTACCTTGAAAACTGGTACTTTGGTCTTTTTGGAAATCCTTTGCTGAACAATGGAGAGCGAGGTATTTGTGTAAACCACCCATCTGAATGTTGCCTGAAATCAAAAAGTCTAAAAATCCCAAACCAAACAATTCCTCTTACCTCTGAAACTTTCTTCACTGGATAGCAACCAATTTGATCGGGATTCCTGATTGACCGTAGTCGAAGTGTCTTGCCAACCACTAAGATTAGATCCTAATATGAATCATTCAACACATAGACATGTTACATACCTGAGTAGGGACCGGAAAGCGGGAAACTATGCGCAGTTAAATGCCAGCGAGCATGCATTAGAAGCGGTTTCGAGCGGTTCGCAGCACTTCCGATTGGGCAAAACTCATATCTCTGGCTGGAGCACTCGGATTCCTGGAAGTGATGATGAGGACGAATTCATTTGAAACGGAAGTTTTGAGAAACTCACATCAACTTGTAATGGATTGAAGACAAGAGCAGTATTACACGTCAGGTTTTGGTCACTCACGATTTCCCACGACACGGATTCCTTAAAAATATGGATTTAGTTGGGAAGGGATAAGGTTTTTGAGGGGTGGGACAAAAAAAATTGTTATCGGATTATTGGAACCATTTCGGTATGTTTTACTGAGCTGTGCGTTTGCAAATTTAACTGACAACCGCTATAAAATACCGTATTTTCTTCAATAAACGCCCACCCAAACCGTCAACTTTAAGCTCAATTATCTCAACTTCTGCGAAGGATATCGAAAGTTTGTCAATTGATAACATATTGGTGACATTATGACAAATAATTTATCAGTTGACAAACTTTTGATTGATGGCTCAAAATTGACGGTTTGAGTGATTTGTTATTGGAGAAAGTACGGTAGATGTGATATTAAAAGTAGAAGTAGAAAAATTATGTCTGAGTTTTTCACTTTCGAACTTTGAACATTTTTCATAATTTTTTGAAAATTTCAGTTTCTGTCATTTTTGTTACTAAGTTTGGAAAAATCTGAAACTAGCTAAATAGTTTCAACTTACACAGTTACAATGGAAAAAAATAGTGTTGTTCATGCAAAAAACCTGCCTAAACTGAAATTTTTTGAAGTGACGAATTTTTGTGGAAACAAGCGCAAAGTACGAAATTTTCAAAGAAACATCCGGAAAACTTGAAAAAATTGGTAAATCATAACTTAGTCCACATTCTCCACTTGCCCCCCCCCTTTTGACTTATGCAAAATATCTAGAAAATGTTTTTTTTCATTGTTTTGCTTCATTTAAGCTTTCAGGAGAATGTTGAGACCTTTTCTGTATCCCCTTTTTTCCGAGAGTTTAAAAAAATTGAAAAAAGCTCACCGGATTCACTGTAGGATCGGTTTGATTACTGTACTTCAGAGAATAATAAATTTCTGTTGGGAATCCAGATTCCCAATTTGAATTCACATACTGTGTCTGCAAAAAAAACGTATTCACCAACTTCTCCCAAACCACTCACCATTTTGATATATCCATCGAATGGATGTCCGATTTCCGCGAACGCCACGGATCTCTCACAAGGCGGCTCGAAATGTCCACAAAATACTTCCTTCCCATCTTTCAGCAAAATCGAAGTACCCAGCATACTAGTCGCTCCAGTCACAAACTTCTCATCAAAAATCACACTAGAATCACTTTCATTGCTCATCAGATTTTTCTTCAAGTCACCGATCCATGACACTTTAGTGACCCCTCCAAGGTTTTGATCTCCACAGGGAGGACCACTTGTGATGCTACGATCGAGTGGTCGGAAATGCGCTTGAACATCAGAAAATGCTTGCTTTTTATTGATCAGAATCTAAAAAAAAATAATTTTGCAGAAGAAAATAAATCAAAATTTAACCTCGGTGTAGTTGTTGGCAGGGTACTCCAGAGCGACCACAGAGGCTACAGTAGCCGATGAGAATGGTGCTACTCGCTTGACCATTGCATGCATCGTCAGTGCTCCAGATGGTAGGACAGTCAGGTTCGCGCAAACTTTCATCCATTCCAAATCAATGATGGCTGATCGCATATCAGAGATATTGAACCAATTGAAGACACCTGTTAAGGTTACGGCTTTTTCGTTTTTTCCAACCACCACAGCTGCATTCTCGACGCGATGACAATAATCGCAAGTTGTATGTGTACATGACGTGGATTCGGCGGTTTTGTTGGACACCTAAATACCCGAGTTTAATGAAAATCCAAGAAAACCAAGATTACCAGAACAGTTGCTCTTGTCGACATCTCATCGAAAATGTTGCGAATCTCTCCAGTCAACAGAATTTTGTCGTCCGTGTCAACCAAAGCAATTCTGAAAAAAAGCTTCATGAACAGAAAATCAGAAAGCAGACCAGGGGCATGTCATGCCGTTTTAGAATGGTAGCCTAGGAAACTCAACTTGCAAAAGTTAGGCCACCATTTCAAAATGACCTAGAAAACACACCAGGAGTATGTTTAGCTATTTCTAGGCCATTTTATCATGGTGGCCTAGAAAAGTCAACTTGCAAAAGTTAGGCCATCTTTTCAAAACTACCTATTAAACACACATCTTCTGTTCATTTCTAGGTCATCATCTGTCAATTTCTAGGCCAGGTGGCCTAAAAAACTTGACTTGTAAAACAAAGTTAGGCCATCGCGTTAAAATCTTTTTTTTTTAATTCTCCGAAAAATTTCTCGAAACATTTTCGCGAAATTCCCCGTGAAATTTTTCGAGGAATTCTCAAAAAATTTATTGAAGAAAATGTCACTTTTGAGACCTCACCTTCCAATGATCGGGTGTAGGAATGTTGCAATTGCAGCTGGGCGAGCGAACTGTGGCCGCAGAGCACTACACGAAGTATTCAGTACGAGACTCTTAAAAAATTAAATAAATCTTTAGCATACTCAAAATATGTGCACTGTACCTTCAACATAATGGATTCCGACCCAAAAATGTTGACAGATGGATAGTAATTCAAATAATTCTTATGTATAATTTCAGTGGAAATGTCCAAACAATCATCTCGGATGTGTAGCTCCTTTGGCGGGTGTCTCAGTCCAATCACCGGCTCAAAATAATGATTCTGTCGAAATGTCACGCCTAGAGACTTCAGAGTTCTTGGCTCCACATTTACAATATCGGCACATGCAAACAGTTTGTCTTCTCGATACAATGCCAACGCCTCCACTGTGTAGTTTTCCGGAAGTGCTGGAAAATCATTTTGATCTTCGTTATTTCTTGAAGAACGTTATCAAATTTGTGTGAAACATTTTGGAAGTGAGAGGATGGACACAGAAGGCAGAAAGGAAGTGGTGCTAGTTGTTCAGAAAGCGAAATGAATCGATTTCCGCTGTCGGAATGTTGAAAGTGTGAAAACAAACTGGTTAAATTACTGTAGAACCTGTGATAGGAGAGCCCCACTTACATCAAACGTTGAGCCAATTGTTCTCGGTTACTGTCCACGATATAAAAAAGCCGTCAACTGCTGAATGTTTTATCTTAATATAAAACATATTTTTTAAGTTGACACAATTTTTAAATCATGCAAAGAATCCAAGGAACATTTGCTTAAATTAGAAAGTGTAAGAGCCCTTATATTGTAAGTTTACAGTAATCCAACGAATCGAAAGTTGAAAAAACTGCAAATACAGGGTGCGGCGAAAGTATTGGAACAAACATTTATCGCAAGCTGACGTGCGCTGAAGCACTTTTCGTGTTTTGATTTTGTGTTCATATTTTTCCCCGTCTCTTAATTGGTAGATGGGCAAAGTTCCATGTTCTTATTTTCAAATTTTACGAAGATGGCACTACTTTCTGTACACCGTCTTCGATGTTTTTCCTGACCTTCTAGCACTCGCTTGACCACCGCGTTCATTGATAAGACACTGTTCAGCTTACATTTAGAGGCAAAATTCAATTTTGAAAATTGGTACAATGTCCTTGGCTATCTAACAGTAATAGTCTGTTGATTCGCTGGGGAGCCAATCTTCAGCAAACTATGATTTTTGGAGGAATCACTTCAAATGAGAAGAACCACTGTTTTTGGTTGAGCCAGGCGTGCAAGTGTACCAAGAATAATACTTCTAGTGAAAATCATACTGCCTAAATCATAATCTAACTTTCAATAGCAAATTTAGACATTCCAAATTTCGATTGAGATTTTCGTGCAAGGAAGTCTTTAAGCATGTTTTCAAGTTTGCTTTAACACAATTTTGGATGCTCTCAAAAATACTCTTTCCACGGAATGCGACCATTTGACGGCAGACCACCCCCGTGCCAGGATGAACGCAACCCAAAGAAGTTGAGCCCCGCCATTAGAAACAGATCTGCCAGAAATAAACAACTGTCATTCAATTTTGTAACAAATCTGTTTGATAAAGTCCTGTTAAAATTTGAACCGGATTGGACTATTTATAGAGGAGTTATGGCGTCTTCTTTTTGTTTCAATACTTTTGCCGCACCCTGTAATCTGGTCATACGCTGTATAATCACTTTTTCGAGCTCAGCTATCTCATTTCCCGTCAGTAATATAAAAACACTACGAACTAAAATATGTTGGTAATATAAGGAGAAACATTTTATCAGTTGGCAGATTTCAAATATATTTTACAGAAATCGAGATAATTTTCTGAATTTCTGAAAAACGGCAATAGTTTTTGCAATGAAAGATACATTCAGCAGGTAACAGAAGCAAACGTCCAATTTAATGGTCCAGCTGGTACATTCTGAGATACTACAAACTAAGCTGCTTGCAACCAAGACTGTACAATATCTAAATTAAGCCAAAATTGCACTTATAGCGCGGGATCCTATTCAGGAAAAAAACAGTGTTTGGAAAAACTATCAAAAATTACTGTATTGAACTTACTGAATGCAAAAGTAGCTCTTGAATCAACTCCAACTTCACTATAATCCGTCTGTTTTGTTGTTTCATTTGGATTTGCACAAGAATCCACAAATGCCCAAGTCATGATTTTCTTCTCTGGCTCCACATAATCAAACTTTGACATGTATTTGAGATCAGGCACCAGACGAACCTAAAACTCTTTTTTTTTCTTCCTTTTTCCTATAATCCGTATATTATTAGGTTGTTCGGAAAGTCCTTTCCACTTTTGATATGTCTTTTTCAAACTTCGTTTTCTTGAAGGGGATAAAAGCAAGGAAAATGTCGTTTTATCAGTATGCTGGTGAGGTCTAATAGTGTCTACACCCCAACGGAGATCATTCTCCTCTTTTCGTGCAGTGAGATATGCCCACCGTTTTCGCCTCTAATAATTTCCATTTTTGGACTACCATTTTATTTGTATTTCTATCTGACCTCAGATCAACTGAAATCAATCACCAATTTGTGGAGGTTAACAACGAAGATGCACTCTTTCGAACAAACTTCACAACCTGGATTCATCAATTTGAAAAATGAAAATTCTCGTTGGACGAAAATCCCCCTCCAAAAAAGCATACGGGCTCAGATTTGAACGCATTAAAAACCGGGATTGAAAGGGACCCGTCTCAAACTGTGCGGGATATATCAAGTACATTAGTGGCAAGCCTTTCGTTAAAAAGCCATAAATTGGGAACTCTCGGCATAGTAAAAAAAAGTGGAAGATAGGGATCACACCTTTTCGATCAAAGCAACTTTGTTTCATGTGTGGGCACCTGTTTGAATCTTCTCATCCTGCGTTGCACACATGAATGTTGAAGTTAAATCATTACTAGTGGCGATAAATGGGTAATGTATGATTACTATAAACAACAATCCAAGTGGGTTGACAAAGGCACTCAACCACCAGACGTCCCGAAACGTGAAATTAACGTTAAAAATGGGATGTTTTGGCATGGATGTCTACCAAGGAGTGGAGTATTGGGAGCTGCCAGATAATGGTGTCACTTTTATGACCGATACCTTTTTTTGTCAGGTGACATAACTCACACTCCATGTGGATCTCTATTGGAGAGAAACACAACGGTTTATTAGGTTGGCGGGAAAGTCTTTGTCACTCTGTTTGTTTAATCACTGTTCTCGTATATGGAGGCTGTGTATGATATCGACTCTAGTGAATAACAAGGTGATAAGAACCTTCCATATAAACAAGTCCCCATCTCCTTCCCTGCTCCTCATCTGTAATTGAAACGATATGTTTGTTCCCACTGCTATTCACATCAGACATGTTTTGATTTACCTCTTCCTATCTCACACCACGATGAAGGATTCGGAAACTTTCTTGAAGAATGTGTACAACACACATGCCCCTCACTACAATACTATTCGCAATTGGTTCCATCGTTTCGAAAAAGATGACTTCTCGCTCGATGAAAAGGATCGCTCTGGGAGACCCCGTGAGTTGGATTTGGACAAGCTGAAGCACGCTTGCAATCGGATCCATTTCAATCTAGCCGTGAACTAGCTGTCACATTCGGAGTTCACCATAGCACAGTCCTTGAAGGTTTGAAGTCTCTTGGAATGAGAAAACTTTTTGGTCGATTCATACCTCATCACCTGACTCAAGCCAACCTTGACCGCCGAGTCGACGATTCGATTACTCTTCTCACTCTCCACGCGGGCGATCGATGGCTGGACCGGCTAATAACCGGAGATGAGAAGTGGGTCTTCTACGATAATCACCACAGGAAATCCCAGTGGGTTGGAGAAGGAGAGAGCCCACAGGATGTCCCCAAACCCGACCTTCATCCGAAAAAAGTTATGCTCTCTGTGTGGTGGGGAGTGGACGGCCCCATCTACTGGGAACTTCTGCCCGAGGGCAAAACAATAACTGGAGACCTCTACACTACTCAACTACGAAACCTCAAGAAAGCAGTCGACCGTTCGGCCCTGAAAGACAAGAAAGTGTACTATCAACATGATAACGCTCGCCCACATGTTTCGAAACAAGTGAAGCAGGAGCTGATGGGATATGGATGGAATGTTCTCCCTCACCCCCCGTATTCTCCTGATCTTGCTCCTTCCGACTATTGGTTATTTGGCGATATGACACGTGCCTTCGAAGGAAGAAGCTTCAATTCCCGTGGAGCGGTCGAAGCGGCACTCAAACAATACTTTGCCTCACGCCCGGCTGGATTCTACCGCAATGGAATCCATAAATTGAGGGAACGTTGGAGACATGTTGTTGATAATGATGGACAATATAATTAATTATTCGGTTATTTTTTCTTTGAGAAATAAACTATTGAAAAAGTGACAAAGACTTTCCCGCCAACCTAATATTTTCAAAATCGAAATTCGCAACCTCATGCGGAAAGGAGAACGGAGACCGATCTCACTGGATACGGCTAAACGGTTCTGTCTTATCTACGGTATAGTCCAAACCTTGTACTGTCTGACTACCCCCTAACCAGCCATTTCTACCGACACCTTGATTGAAAAAATTCACTTCACAGCATGATGTCAAAAATGGGTTGACCTGATTTTCAATGCGCTGTGACCGGAGTTCTGGAAGGAAGACATCCACAATTTGGTGGGACGTTGGCAGATAGTCACTGATAACAATGGTCATTATCTTCAATTTATCTGACATCGTTCTGACTTTTTTTATATCGAATGAATCTGACGCAAAAAATGGAAAGGACTTTCCGAACAAAATAATATTACCGCATTGTTCTTGATTGGTATTATATGAACGTGTCCTTCAATTGGTTCCTGATGAAACGATGCGTGCATCAACTGTTTGCCAGGTATGATAACTGTCGCGCAAGCGAGAACCTGCAATAATACACGTTTTCTTTGCAGACAACGTTGCTGACGGAGACCGACCTCACTATTATCACCGGAAACAACCAACGTGTTGCCTGCCAGTCCGTCGCCGTTGATAGTGGAATCGGTGACCGGCATGTTCTTCACGACCGGCGGGCTTTTTTTGACCCGCCGACAATTATCAGTCATTACAGCCATGTCGTAAGGAGCGGACGACGTGTGTACAGCCCAGACCAGCGTATCATTGGGTTTCTCTTTAATGTCGAAACTAACTATGTAGGTATCACCATTCTCGTCGGCTGGCGAAATCTGGAATGTTAAATGAGATCGTTCAAAAAATTCGAAGAGAAAACTTTATTTTTTCTATTTTGTCTTCTTCTTTTTTACCGTATTCCCTAATCACGTGTGTTTTTATCTTTTTGATCTTATTTGATGAAACAGTGATGTGTCTGATTGATGGAATCGTAGAAGAAAAACGAAGACTTTACGGTTGTTAGCCTAGGAGAGTGGAGTAAGAAGAAAAAGAAGAAAGGGAAAAGTTATGATCATTTCAATTTAGGTCAGAAGCCGATTCACTATTCCGTCTTTGTTGAAAATTGTTTCTAAAAACACAGAAACTTCAAAATTGAAAAAAAGAGATATTCTTTTTGTTTTTCATCCAAATAACCTTGGGAGAACCACTGAAAGAACGATTTACACTTCCCTATAGTTTCGACCCAATCGAATCAACTCGCACTATCACCTACACAAGATAACACAGTAGGAGGAAGAGGAAAACTAACCGTCAAAAAACCCTTCAACTTCTCGCCATACAATAAAGTCCTATATGATGATGTGGAGAATGGAACGCATTGATGTATAAATGAAAAGATAATAGTACAAAAAAATAGGGAATGAACGAACGGTTTAGGATAAGCGATGACACTGTACATATTATCAGCCGCGATCCCGGCCTGCTGATTCACTCGCGGCGCCTTTTTGTCAAAAGTATGGGGTTGGACGACGCCGACGGGGGGACGAGAAGAATCAAATGAGAAGAAATGAGAGAAGAAGAAGAAGAAGAAGTGAAATACTGGGGCGGGAAAGAACAATCATTACTCATTACTCATCTATTCACTTTAATGTTTTTGGTGGGGTCTTTCTCTCTCGTTTTTTTCCCTTTTCTAGAAATCTGTTCTAATCACTTCTAATCAATCTTTGTCTCCTAGAGACTGGACGTTATGGATTTATATGGATCACATGCTTTCTTTGTCATCAACGATCAAATAATGCGAACGACGCTCTCAAGTAATCTATTGCAGCAATATTTAGCCAAGGAATGTTGTATACAGTGAAATCTCAAGTAGAACGCCACTGTCAATTTTGAGCTCAATCATCTCTGTTACTGTGAAACAAATCAAACTTTAGTTAACCGTTGAATTATTGGTGATACTATGATAAACGTTTTATCTGTTGACAAATTCTTTGGATCTCTGAGAGGAGCCAAGAAAAACAGCCTCAAAGTTAAAAGCTAGAGGTCTCCTATTACCGATGTAGCTGTATCTTTTTTCTTGTAATAGTAAACGCTACGTTTATGATAGATAGAGATTTTGTTATTTACTCAAACTAATGCGGCGGAGTCCTTTGTTTGTTGTTTACCGTAAAACCGATAATAGAAGCCAATAGTTAACTTTGAGTTCATTTATCTCATTTCCTGTCAAAGATATGGAGAAGTGGTCAACTAATAAATTGTTTATCATCGTTCCAGAAGTATGTTGTTCGTTAACAAATTTCTGATCTCTTTATCTGGAACCGAGATAAATTGTCCTCAAAGTTGAAAGTTGGGAGGCCTTTCTATTACAGGCCTTTCTATTATTTTCATTTCCGGAATTATCAAGCAACTCGTTCAGCTGAAACAAGCTACCATTTGAAAAAGTGAAGGTTGAGTATTAAAATCTTCTATTGCAGGTTTTACGGTGTATTTCATGACCTTCTCAAAAAATATATCTTAAAACAGAACTCACCTGAGAAAGTCGTTTTTTGTTGAGATTTATGTAGCTGCTAATTTTAAACGCCATGAAGTTCAAGCTTCAACTGATTTCGTGCAGCATCTTTGTTAATTTCTAACAGGACCATTTAAACAAAGATCCAAGATAACGGCAGCAAAGTCTCGGAAACCATCGAAGAAGCTGCAAGCGAATATAATTTTTGAAATTCATGAGAAATCATGTTTTTTTTGATTGCAAGACAAATGAAAATCGTAAAATCTTACTTGATCAGTGTGTTCCATAAAATCCTCCTCATTGCAAGAAAATCAATGTAGGAATTCGAGATAGCTGTCGAAAATCAATATTCGGAGCAAATGAGAGTGCATCGCACAGCTTCTTCCCTGCTCATCAAACAGCTTTTTCCCAGTTGTCCGAGAATCGATCACAAAAACGAACGAATTCACGATTTTGCTCATTCTGGCTTGTTTAGCGATTTCCATGCTGTGGTTCAACATATCAGGCCTAATTACATCTTTGAACTGTAGAACTGAGCGCTGAAAACGATTAGTAATACTTTTTTTTCAATTTCTGCTAGCAACAATAATAAAAAAACGCTGCTTGTTGCTTAAATTTAAAAAAAAACATACCTAAACTCATCGAATAAATCCAGGAACCCCTCAGGTGCTCTCTTCGGAAATCCCGTTTTGTAGCTGTTCGGCATCAGTCTTATGATATTTTAAGGAATTTCAGCGTTAATAAAAACACAATATCAATAAGCAAAGTAAAAGACATTATAAAATGCGATGCTCAAATTTTATTTATTCAAACGAATTCAATGCGCAGTTGTCAAGATTCTGATAGTGGCAAAACGTAGGCCATCTTGAACAATTAGTGGGTCACCAAACATTTAAAAAATGCTTCAAGATACGAGAAACAAGAAAAGGAAAGAATAAATGAAGAGAAAAGAGGATGGAGTGGAGGGGGGGGGGGGGGGATTGAATTTTTAGAGCGGGGAGTGGGTTTAAGATTCGAGCTTCAAGTTTTAAGAACAGGAAAGCGAGAGATAAATTGCGGAAAAAAAAGGGGAGAGGCGTTTTTTTTTGGATTTTTAGCAATTTTTGGAGGGGGGTGAGTAAGTTATCGATGATGAGAACAACTCAAGGTGGGTGTGAAAATGAGAAATAGCAGAGAAGAAAAATTAGGGGGAACGAAACCGACCTTATCTGCCGCTGGAGCGGCGAGCCATTTTATGTTTTGCTGCAGACCGGAGAACAGGAGCGTCTTGGTCAAACGGCTCTTCGTGACGCCTGCGACGGCTCAGAGTAGGTTGTGCCGAAGTGGACGGCAGGGCATTCAAAGTCGTTTGGTGGGGCTCTGGAGTCGTCGCCTGAGAAGATGTGGACATCTGCGAGCTAGCATGTCCTTCTTCGGATTGATCAGTGGAAGGAGCCTTGTCGAGTAGTTCTGGAAATTAGTATTTTGCATGAGCTGTGATTTTTTTTTAAATTTCTTAAAATATGAACTCACCGTTCCCAGACTGGATTTCGTCATCTTCGTCTGAATCCAATTGTATTGTTTCTGGCATCTGATTTTCGATGACTCTGGCTCCAATATAACTGGCTAGCGGCATTGGAGCATCATGACGATTTCTTCCATGAAGAAGACCATTCGAATTCCCGACTTCTTCCTCTTGATCTCCAACACGTGCAAGGCCGACGTCTCCGACTCTAGGGTTATCAGAACTGGATGGCTGCACTGGGGCATCGACCGGGACATCGTTTCTCAGGTAAGTGGTAGGAGCGTTGTCAGGTGGTGCTGAAAATTGGTATTTTGCAAGAATTGCCACTTCCTTTTTGATTTCTTCAAGAAAGACTGATGAACTTACCGCGTCCATACTCTTGGAAGACTTCGCCTGGTTGAGGCATTTCGGACATCTGGATATGGCCCAGAGCAGTTCCTCCGGAATTGGACGGGATGCCGTTTATATTCATCTGCTGTGGCTCATCCGGAAAATTGTTGTTGCCGTTGTTGACAACTCCTTCCGGCACTTCGATTACCTCTCTCTTCATCGCGCTTCCGATTGGCCTCGTTTCGATTGGCCTGTCTTCTTCCTCCAACCTCATGTTTATCTTCGGATATAATGGATTGAAACAATAAACTTGATCTTGATTCTGCTCTTCGAACAGTATTTTCGCAGTTGGTTCCATTTTTCTCAATTCCTCGTTAGCCGGAATCTCGAAGATCTTCTGCACTGTTTGGTAGAGCCCTTGAAGAACCTCATCTGGGAATCTCTGAGAGGCTTGGATGTAATTCTGAAATGAAAATTGCAGTAGAAATTAAGTTCTCTCTATTCTTCTCACCTCCAATACAAGCTCACGGATTTCATTGGCCATTGATGGGTGCTGCGTGAAAAATTGAGGATATCCCGTGTGAAATGCTAGAAGAAGTTTTAAGTAGTGATTGACGTTGGGCAGATAGTAATCATTGCCAAAATGATCCCGTGAGTTCTTGAAGGGAATATTTACCGCAGACCTGATCATATTCGAGATGATCATGAACAGAGACAAATAATCTGTAATAAAACATTTACTTTAAATTTTACTTTGTGTTAATTCATACCTTCAATTGGCTCATTCTTCTTAGCATATTCACTGATTCCCAATTGAATGCAGTTGAGAACATCTGTTTTGACCCAAATTGTGGCCAACATGACGCAGTCATAGTATTGGGAGAAATAATCCCTTTTTCTCGGTGAGTTGTACCTTTTGTTAATCCGGCACTGAAATTGATTTTTTTTAAATCTTAAATCAGTATTAAATCTCACCATCAATAGGTTGACACTTTCTCGAAATATTTTGAAATCTTCTTGTTTTCTCTCGTTTTTGGGATCCTCCATTCGTCTTCGTGCCAAACCGAAAAAAAGCTTCAGATTCTTCAATAATTCTTCAAACACCGACGCATTTTGCATTTGTTTTCTCAGTTCCAAATAGTCCAAAAACTTGTGGATCTGTTCCAAACAAGAGCCCTCCTCATTTTGCATTGGTTCTCGAAGAAGTTGATCCGCGAATGCATTGTGTGTTTCATTTTCTGCAGAGTCCAAGAAACGACGAGCAGCAACAACCCAATTCTGATCGTTTTCCAACACCATCGACAGCAAAGGTGGGGCGTTCTGAAAAAAAATAATATTTGGGATTTTTAATTGGCAATCACTCCACCTCTACATAATAATGCTTCAGTTCCTCGTCAATTTCGACGGATTCGAAGAGGTTCTGCCACATTTTGATTCCGCCATATGACCAGGTCGGGGTTTTTTTCAAAACCTTCTGAAAATGCTCCCGCATTGCGTTTCTGCAGAATACTTGACCTGCTAAAATAGTTTTTTTTAAATCGCATTTCATACCGATTTTCTTACCTGGAGCGGAGTTTTCCAATTCGTATCGAAGGACGAGAGCATGAAGAGCGTCTTCAAATTCATCTCCCATGACTCCATCCTCAAATCGGGACATTTTATTCTGAAAATCCAAATTTCGTAGAATAAGGTTATTGCGCTAAGAGTTGTTTTACGCTATGTATCTCAACTATGAGAAGTTTCAGTTTGCTATGATTGAGAAATTCGTTCAAAAAACGACTGTTTCAAGTGAAAAATTTAAATTTACTTACTTGTCGACGGGCCGGCTGATAACGATTCAGAATTCAAATTTTAAGCAAAACAACATACTAAACGATTGAATTCGGAAAGCTCTTCAATCTTCTATAAAAGTCGACCGGCTTCAAAAACAACAGATTCATGGACCGGGCTGACGATTTTTGGGTGGCCCGCACACGGTTGTTGATTTTAATATCAATTGATTCTTATTGGAGGTTGTAGGGCTTGCAGAAATTTATCAGTTTTTATGTTTTCTTGCCCGCAATTTCAGTTTTTAACCAAAATATCATACGGCCCGTGTCGGTCCGGCGACAAGAACAAAAACTCAGTTTTACGAATTTATTTTAGATCCTTTTTTTGAAAATACGTATGAATGATTTCTCCAGAAGAGTATTTGTATAGAAAAACGTAACAGCTCACCAATAGTGTTTTTAAGCTTTGGATTGCTGCAATGGACATCAACTGAATCCGATTGTTCCACGCTTCTATTGAACCCTGCTCCTTTTCCACTTGTTTCTCAAGTTCTTTCAACTTGCTTATCTGTAGCTCCTTCTGGTGCTGAACTTTGCTCATGAAGTTCGAGAAGAAATTGACGACATGTCGGCATGCGTTCTCGGGCATCTTGGTGGAGCTGAGGAATTCGCTGATTTCACTGCAGTTAGAGATATTTGTCTCCTCCTGAAAAGGAAACCAATGATTTCAGAGTTTGTGATGTCGAAAAATCAAAAATTACCGTCGCATTAACAGCGTTGTTGAGAAGAGAGAGACAAATCTCATCGACACTGGGTTGGGCCATTTTTTCTGGAAAAAATTTGTTTCTAAAAAATGAGAATAGTGAGACACGGACATGAAGAATCTTAAGAAAAACCAATTGACAGTTTGAAACGTGGCATAACACATTTTTCGTTTAAATTGAGAATTTTCTAAAATGCGGTGCTTTACAAAAAGTTCATAGTCAACTCGAAAAAACGCGAATTTTCAAAACAAAAGTCATTCAAAAAAAATTTTCCTAAAATGATTTCTTTTATTCCACCTTAGTGTAAGTTCTTACTTAAATTCAAAAAAAGAATCGATGTTCATTAGAGCAGATTTGCAACATGGCCTAAGTTTTCGACTAAAAACTTCGGCCAGAAGAAAAAAAAAGTCGAAAAAGCCATGGATTCGCGTAAAAAACAAGAAAGGGATGCAGGTAGACAGTGAGAAATGGTTGCAGTCCGCGAAAACGATATGTGTCCTCTGGTGAGCCTGAAATCTGCCCCCGTGGCCATTTTTCTCTGCGTCTCTCCATTGCCCTCCACACTCTTCGCGCACGTCGTCTCTCTGGTCGCACTATTCTGTTGTGTGTAATAGTGAGCGTAAGCGTGAGTGTTTCTATGCATGTGCGTGAAAAAGCGAGCGGGCATCGTCCTCTCCGCGTCGTCGCATTCTGTGGCAAAGTGTGAGAGATTACAGGGAAAGGAGAGATTTCTAGACATTTTCTCTTGCCGTGAGTGTGTGCGTGTATGTCTCGTCCGACGCATACGACTACCCTCTCCGAATAGACGAATCGATTAAAGAAAAAGGAACAGGAGAACGACGAAAAGTGACTGGAGGAACAAGGACGTCACCCCAACGTGGCTGCTCTCACCGAAGAGACGCAGAGAATAGCGCGAAGAAAATTGATTTGAACGGGAAAAAAAACATAGAATGGGAAATAGAACTGAAAAAAGAATGATAAGATAATAGATAACAGATGATATGTCACTGAAAAGAGCTTAATTTAAAGAAAAACAATTTTAAAATCGAGACTTTATTATGAACCGTTTTTAATGAGAAATTGGAATTCAAGAAATACAACCGTTTCGATTGGGAAATTGGGAAAATTAACACAGTCAATTGGATACATAAAAAGATATGATAATCCTCTCAAATGTCGGCATCCGGTTCCTCGGCATGGTCAGCAGCTCCAGCCTCTTCCTCCAGTTTCATATTTACTTGCAAGTCGACTACCATTGGAGTTGGAGCTCTTGTTGGCTCTTCATCATCGGAAAGATCCAAAACATCGAGAACTACACCAGGTTCCTTGGTCTTTGGAGCCTTTTCATCGGGATCCACCACAATGTATTCAATTGGCTCTTCTGGAACTTCCTCGGCCGCTTCTTTGTTTGGGTTTTCGAATTGGACGAAGTTGAATGGTTCAAGATTATTTGGAAAAATGATCAATGCTGGCCATCTCCGAAGATCGGTCATATTTTTCAAAAACATCCGAATAAAATATGGCAACGGCTGTGCAGTCAATCGAACATACAGTACGCATACCAAACAGTATCCGTCGAATTCCACTAACGCCTTCTCCTGAGACACTACAGCTACTGCAACCTTATTCGCCATGTATCTTTTGTAGTATTCATTCCCGAATTGAAGGAAGTCGAACACTGCAGAAATATTTCCGAGCTTTCCGTTTCGAATTTGGGCAACTAGAACGGCAATCTGGAAAACTTAAGTTTTGGCCGAATCCGCCCTCATGAGAAAATCTCACTTTTTCAGCGACTTGGCTCATCTGAAGAACGTTGTGCACTTGGTAGTTGTTGATCACAAAAACAGCGCTGATTGTGTAGGCAACAGACGTTTTCACGTTGCAATTTTGCAATTTCTCGACCAGATCCGTTTCAGCAAAGCTGCCTGAAAGTGTTAGAAACTAAGATATGTTTTTTTGGGATATGATACTACCTTCGATCTCCGCATCGAAGCAACGGTCTACGCGGTCCGAAAACACTTCCAGAAGAATTTTGTGAGATTCTTTGAAACCTTCATCTTGGAACTTGAATTGTGCATTCTGAAAGGTTTGAAAGTTAAATGTTTTGCGAATTTATCAATCGATATCAGGTAAAATGCG